GAAGAGTCACTGTGCTACCTGGATAGCTTTCTGTTGTCTCTCGCTGTCTTGAACTCAGGCCTGGGCAGTTCTGAGCAGACAGTGCACCCCTATTTTGGTCGGTCACTGCTGTGGGGACAGTTGCCATGTTCCGACAGTGCCAGGCCTGAAGAGGACTAGATCTTGACTATAGTTGTTGAAGGACCTTGTGCTCTAACCCTACATATCATTTGAAAGTTTTGATACTAAGATTAAATGTGAAAATTTGTGTAGCTAAAAACAAAGAGGCTTTTAAAAAGGCATGTACATTACATATTCGTACATATCCCAAGAGGTAGCTCCTGATTATGGGATCTCCATGTGGGAGGGCGTGCCTCTCCCGACCACCGCAGACCCGGTCTCTCCCAATAGACCTGTAGGTGGTCCCCGAACCCCCCTTTCCCTTTTCCCACCTTCTTCTTGTTAAGAATTACCCTCCTCTGTCCTCGAATGCCTCTTAGTAATAATGCTCAGCCTGTTTGTGGGGGGAATCGGAAGGGTTCCTTCCCTTGCCTGTTGCTGCAGGAAAAGAGGCTGTGACTTTCCGCATAACCAGGACTAGGCGTCAGGTTGCCGTGCCAGCCCCTCATCAGAGAGTAGGGGAGGCACAGGTCTGTCTGCTGGCAGGTGCATTATTTAGGATTAGATTGCGTTTCAAACAACTTTAATCAAAGGCCGCACGGCTCACACAGACTGAAATGCATTCCTCTCACGTGTTAGGAGTAGACAGTGTGGGGCTTGTAGGATGACTTCATAATTCTTTCAGGAGTCAGGTTTCTCTCCTCCGCCTCACGCTCTGCCATCTGCAGCACGTGACTTCCAGCCGGTGGTACAGGATGGCTATTCAAGCTGTAGCCGTTGTCTGCATTGTAGCTGCCAGGAAGAACAGAGAAAGGCATGCCCCATCCTTTAAAGACACTTCCTGAAGTCTAATTCATATAAAACTTTGCTTATAACCTGGAGCAGGAACTTAGTTACCTGGTTCTACTTCCCTGCAGGCAGCCTCACCTTTATTTATTATGACTCCAGCTAAAATTTCTAGTACTGAGGAAAAGTGGGAAAACAGATACTGGGAGGTAACTAGCAGTCTGTGCTGCAGAGAGACTTGGGGATTTGTTTCTGCTTTGGGGTTGGGGCTAGATCTGCTGTTTGGATGAATCCTCTTTTCTCAGCAACAAGCCCCCAGAGAGCCTTGGGGACCCCTCACATGGGCCCTGCCCTCGTGGAGGTGGGCTCTCCAGCGAGAGATGAGATCAGGAGAGCAGAGAAGGCTTGGGTGTTCTAATGGTGGTGGCTGAATTGTTGTCCTGCGTTTGAGTGCCGGTGGTCTGTGGTGCCAGATGGGGATGGGTGTTCTGGGAGGCTTGGAGGGGTGAGGACCAGGTGGTGAAATTTTCTTTTTTGATTAGAATCAGGGAAACATTCAGAACTCGTGACTGCTGTTTTCAGAGCTCTCTGTTCTCTGGCAGGGCTTCAAGTTGGGTGAAGCAAGCAAGGCACCTGCGGCCAACGGGTAAGGGCGGTTTGCCAAGCGGCCCTCTGACAGCGAGTGCCTCTGTAGCTTTGGTGCCCGAGGTGCCTTACTCGCTCACCCTGCTCCTGGCCCTGCTCCCTGGCTGGCTGCATGCTGTTACGTGTTTTTATTTTTATTGAGAAGGAAGCATATGTTCATGGTAAATAAGTCAAAGTATAAAAGGGTGCGTGGTGGAAAGGTCTCCCTCCCCAGAGGCAGCCACCAGGCCCTTTTGTACCCCTCCAGCTAGTGTTCCTTCCCAAGAGGCGCTGCTTTCCCGCATCTCTTCAGCACTAGTGGTTGAATTCCCACTGTGTGCAGAGAGGACTCAGCCCCGGGGAAGTTGGTAGCGGGGCTGCGGGAAGGCGAAGGAGCCGAAGTGAGAGGGAGTGCCTGTTCGGGAGGCTGGGGAATCTGTCCGCTCCTCTCCCCTGCTCGCTGCCGCCACACCTTGGTGCCGAGAGTGCAGCCGGATGTTGTGAGGCCGGCTCTTCGTGTGCATCTCCACCTTACTCTCTCTTTGTTGTCCCCTTCTCTCTGTGTCTCCTTGTCTTTGCCTCTTGTCTCCCTCGCTTCCTCCTCTGTGTCTGCCTTCTGTGTATTTCTGTGTCCTCTCTCTGTCAGTCTTTTTCTTACAAGCCGCACACCCTCTCACTTCTTCCTTCCGGAGTCCTGCTTCCTTCTCTGCTTTTAGGTGGTTTTTCTTTCTTTAACACAAGGGTTTGTATGTGACTTTGACGTGCTGTGGTCCTGACTCCACTGCTTTTAGATAGACTCAGTCTCTGGGTATCCCAGCTCCATGTTCCTGGAAAGACGATCCAGTAGGCTCAGCCTGGGCCAGGGTCTGGCTTGATCACGCACAGTAGTGCAGGGAGGGGCAGCAATTCCCAAGAAGGGGTCCGGCAGGTAGGCAGGTGCCTCAGGACATGCGTACTGTATTGCACAAGGGTCTGTGGATGACCAGCGGCCGTTAATGAGGTTGTCCTTGTGTTAGCTGACCTAGGCTTAGTCCCACACAGTGAACCTCAGCTAGCCAGGCAGGTCCCTGGGGAGGCCGGCCGGCAGCATGCATTCCTTTGGTTTTCCCCCTTCCTCATGACCATCGCCCGCAGCCCCCAACCCCACTGCACGTGACTGACTAGGAAGCGCCTGTGTCATTTGCCCGAGTACTGAGTGAAAGCTCTTGCAGTGTCTCCGAGGCTGTTCAGCCACCTTGTCTGTACCCACAGGCTGGCCCCAGGCCTTCCTCTCCCGCTGAGTGGAGGAATGTCCAAGTTTCTGACAGTTGCCTTGTTCCCGGGAATTCTCGGTTAAGTGAAAGTCATCACCATCTTGATTCTAACCAGAGCTCATCATTTCCCCTCTTTGCTTGGCAGCAAGCTTAAGAATACAAAATGCTTTTGTTTCCTCCTAAGAATGTATGATTTCCTTGGAAAAGCACCACCCACATGCCTGAGGGAGAGACCTTCTTAAGACAGATGTTCACATGACCGTAGCAGGAGACTCTAAGCTGTGCTGCAAAGTGGAAATGCTGTCGGGTTAAGGGGAAGGAGAGCTCAGTGAGCGGCTGGCTGGTGTGGTTGGGGAAGGTTTTACAGAGGACGTGGGGACAGAGCTAGACCTGGAAAGTGGGAGTTGCTGTCAGTTGTGGCAGGGGCAGGAGAGAATGGCATTTCTTTTTCAAGCGTACCTGACACCAGTAAAGAGAGAACCTGGCTGAAGGAGAGAGTGCAAATTAGGTAGGAGTAGGTAAAGGTGGCCTGGAGGATGAGCCCAAAATATTCTGTAATAACATTTGAGGGTCATATAAAAGTTCTGGTTTCGGAGGCCAGGGGCAGCCATTAGAGGTGTCACTGTGGAACCCCTTGTATGTTGTTGTCATGTGTTCCCCGTGGATCGGAGCAGTCCCTGTTTAGCAGGGGTGAGGTGCCGGGGTCCTCAGCACAGGGCCCACGTGCTGCTGAGGTGTGTGAGGAGCTGGAACGTAAAGCCAGCGGTGCTGACAGGAGCCCAGGGAACGCCCAGGTGAGCTTACTTCTCCACGGACCGCACCCAGAATTGGTGAGGGGTGGGGGGTGGCATAGAAATGGCGAGGAGTGGGGGAGATCAGCCGGGGTCCATGTGAGCTTAGGAACAGTAGTTAGCCTCTCTCAGCCTCAGTTTTCTCATCTATAAAATGGGAATAGGAATGTCTGTATTTGCGGATTGTGAGAATTAACTGAGAGGTTGTATGTGAAATTGTTAGGCTTGTGACAATTTGTATTTTTTATTCTTACACGAAGAACGTTGTGTCTCTAATTACTAGGTGACTTGCCACCTACATTCAAATTCACCTCATTTATTTTTTAAAAATATTTCTTATAAGCCCTGGCTGGCGTAACTCAGTGTATTGAGTGCGGGCTGCAAACCAAAGTATTGCAGGTTCGATTCCCAGTCAGGGCACATGCCTGGGTTGCAGGCCACGGTCCCCAGCAGCTGCACATTGATGTTTCTCTCTCTCTCTCTCCCTCCCTTCCCTCTCTGAAAATAAATGGATAAAATCTTAAAAAAATATTTCTTATAAGATTTTATTTATTTATTTTTAGATAGAGGGGAAGGGAGGGAGAAAAAGAGGGAGAGAAACATCAACGTGTGGTTGCCTCTTGCGCGCCCCCAACTGGGGGACCTGGCCTGCAACCCAGGCATGTGCCCTGACTGGGAATTGAACTGGTGACCCTTTGGTTCCCAGGCTGGCACTCAGTTCACTGAGCCACACCAGCCAGGGCAGATTTACCTCACTTATTAATGGGTCTCCCTTGTTCCTGCTCCCTAAGGTGGCCATGGATATGTCTCATGTCTTGGGTGGTTTGGGACCTTGGGAATCTGAAGGGAGAGGAGTAGGGTGAAGCCTACCATTTCTGGGCCTGGGGGGAATTTCCAAAAATGGTTCTGGTTGTCAGAATTTATGAATATGGGCACACTCTTCCCACCTTGGGAGCATGCCCATGCCTTTCTTCCCTCTCAGGTGTGCATCTCCTAAACTCTAAGGGTCCCCACCAGACTTGCGACCAGGGCAGCAGCGGGCAGCGGCAGTTTGTCCTGGCTAACCCCCTGAACCTGTCTCCAAGGCCGCTTTACTCTGACTTATCAGTGAGCTGACAGCAGCCTTACCGTGGCTCGCTCTGTCACTGTGACTTTTACTTCTCTGTGAGTCCACACAGCCCCATGTGGCTGCCTTTCGTGTGCTTCTGGAGAGCCGGAGCAGCCCCTCCTGGGCTCTCTGTTGTTGCTTCTTCTGTCTTAAACCCTCCCTTGTTTCAGTGTCCCCAGCTTTCATAAATGTACTCTCGAAATTTTTTAAAAAAAAAGGAATTTATGAATATGTGTTAACACATGCAGATAGGGCAGAAGTGATATACTCTGTAAAGAAAGGTTGGGCCTCTGTGCCGTCAGCTCAAGCCTGCTAGTGACCGTATGGTTTTTCTTCCAGGTCTGCTGACATTTGTGAACTGTGCCTATGTCAAGTGGGGCACACGTGTACAGGATACGTTCACTTACGCTAAGGTCCTAGCGCTCATTGCCATCATCATCATGGGCCTGGTTAAACTGTGCCAGGGTAAGAGGGGCCTGAGGTGGGAAGGAGGGTGGCTGGGTCTGGGGGAGGACAGGGGGATTCTCTTAGCTTTACTGCTCGGCTCTTTGTACAAGCTAGACTGTGTCAGCGAGAGCAGGAGATCAGTTCCTGGGCCTTGTGGGCCCGGCTGGCTTGGCCAAGTGGAAATGAGTCAGCCCCTCCCTCAGAGCTGCTTTCCTTTTAAGGAGGCTAGGAGCACTGCAAGGAGCCAGCTGAGGGCCTAGAAACTTGGGTCACAAGTAGGTCATAAAAGGAAACAGTGGGGAGAGCATGAACCTTGCGCTGGCTCCTGGTTTCGGTCTGTGACAGCTGGGCAAGCGAGTGGGAAGACGGGGCCTCCTAGAGAGGGGTCGGAGGGGGTGTGTGTAGGGAGATGGGGTGTGGAAACCACTGGGTATTTCGTCCGGACTTGCTCTTATTCAGCATGTGCTGCCAGAGTAAAAAAATAAAAAACTTAAATATTGTGAGGTTGACACTGACTTTTCTGCATGTCGGCTTTAGAAAGCATTTTTATTCATGGACCAGGGTAAACTGGTAGTGAGGGCGACAGGCCTCCCGAGATCGCCGGAGGCCTTAGGGAAGTCACCAGGCACAGGGTATCCTGATCATTCAACGGCCAGTTCTCTAGATCACCTGTCTCTAAACTTGGCTGTGTTTACAACCACCTGGGACACTGATGCCCCCTCTCAGACCTATTGGATCAAACTCAGGATGGTTTGGAGTTGAAAAAGATGTGTTTTTAAGAAGTTCCCCATGTAATTCTTAAGCAGCTGGTCTAGCCTCTGTGTGTGTGCATGCTTGAAGTTAGTACAGCCAGCCACCTGGATATCCCTGGAGTAGCAGAAACATCTTGGGGTCGAATTGGGTAGTCGAGTAATCCTCCCTGCAGCTGTGTGCCTTAGGAATCCGCTGCTTTGGGTGCTGACGGACACCCCTGTGATGCAGGCATTTCTGTTTTCCCTTCTCTTGCTGCACAGCCAGCCCTTTTTTGCCATGTTGAGGGGTGGGTCTGGGCTTTCTGCAGGGGGTGACAGCAGGCTTCCTTAGAAGTCTGGGTCTTGTTAAACCCGCAGTGTGTCCAGAAAGTCTCTCTCCTGGGTGTTGCTTCCTGGGCTTTCAAGTCCTCTGTAGGCCTCCAAGGAGAATGAAAGTGCCTAGGCTGGTTCCTCAAGGGTGAAGGTGACTCAGATCTATCCCAGGCCCAGTGAGAAATAAGACCCAGATTCTTACATAGCTCGTGATTTCCTGCCCTGAGCAACCACGGCCACGGCAAGTAGAGCAACAGAGTTCTCTGCATGAGACCCATTTGACCAAATTGTGCAGTGCTCCGGGGCAAGAGAGGTAGTTAGTGAAAAATGACTCCTTTATGATAAACAGGGTGCTTTCTAAAAATAGGAGGAAGGGCTGTGGCCTACTATGAGGTCACTGGCAGGAAATGGAAATTCACTAGAGCTTTAGAACAGGTGTCACATCCCGGGCAGCCAGGAGTGCTCTTCTCTGTCTGAGACCGTGCTGCTTTACCGGAGTAATAGGAACCTTCCCGAGGGGGTGGGGGTGGGGGTGGGGAGTGAAGTACCGGGAGCTGGTGGTTGTCGTTCTTTTGGCGTTAAATTATTTATTTTTTCTCCCCCTTTCCCTCTTGTTTTTCCCTTCTTTCCTTGACACTCCTACTTTCTCCTTTTTTCCCATCTTCCACTCCTCTTTCTTATCCCCTCTTCTGTCTCTTCTCCCCCTTCTCCTTCTTTCTCTTCCTTCCCCCTGAACCCCCACTGACCTTCGCTCCCACAGGACACTCTGAGCACTTTCAGGACGCCTTTGAGGGTTCCTCCTGGGACGTGGGAAAACTCTCTCTCGCCCTCTACTCTGCCCTCTTCTCTTACTCAGGTTGGGATACCCTTAATTTTGTAACAGAAGAAATCAAAAACCCAGAAAGGTAAAGGCGGGCTCACCCTCTCACCCCCCAGCTCTCACTCCCCAACGTGGCTGGAACTCCTGCTGGTAGAGGGCAAGCTCTTCCCTCCCCTCGTCTCTCATCCCTCCCTACTCCTTCGCAAGCTCTGAGGGACCAAGGATTGGGGTTAGGATGGGAATGAGGGAAGGCAGGACAGCCCCTGGCTCCTTGCCCTCGAGTTCATCGTGGAGGACCCCAGGTCCTCCATTGAGGAGAGGTCGTTCAGTGGCAGCAGCAGGCCCAGCTGGGCCTAACGTGTTAGGACCTTGCACTCTGGTGCGGACACTGAGGTCTGGGGAGCCAGAAGTTTGTTCTGGGCAGCCAGGTCCTCAGCCTGGCCTCTAGTCCCTAGAGGACACTGCCCCTTCTTCAGCGGGCATCCTAGTGTGGCGAGCACCACATTATTGATCATGAGCTACCTTCTCATGATCTCTCTCCTTCTCTCTCTCTCCCCCCACCCTCTCTCAGTCTCTCTTACAAGAGCCCAGGGGCATGGGATACACACTCGCCCTAGGCCACATGGGGAAGAAGTGCCTCAAAGACCCAGGGGCCAGGGAACTGCTAAATGTCAGAACATTTTTCAGGTGAATTTCGATCTCAAGGAGAGGTTGATTCTAGGTAGTCCTGTCTCACTTGTCCTGACAGAAATTTGCCCCTGGCCATTGGGATTTCTCTGCCAATTGTGACGCTCATCTACACCCTGACCAACGTGGCCTATTACACAGTGCTGAACATTTCAGATGTCCTTGGCAGTGATGCCGTGGCTGTGGTGAGTCTCTCAGGTCCCCATTGCTCATCATCTTATGCTGAATGGCTCAGTCTTTCTGCAGCCATTCCGGCTCTGCCCGGCGAGGTGATGAGTCTAGGCCAGGGGGTGGGCTGCTCCGCAGTGACTGGGTTCCACCCAACAGCCTTGATACTGGAGGCTTTTGAAACCCTGTCCTGTGCTGAGTGCACCTTCTGTGTTGTGCCCCCAGACATTTGCTGACCAGACCTTTGGTGTATTCAGCTGGACCATTCCCATTGCTGTTGCCCTGTCTTGCTTTGGGGGCCTCAACGCGTCTATCTTTGCTTCATCAAGGTACGGTGTCTCTGCTTCATTGATAACAGACTCCATTGTTCTTGGAGGCTTTAGGTGAGTCCATAGAGCACTCCTCCTTTTTTTGTTTTTAATAAGCTTTTATTTATTTTTAGAGAGAGGGGAAGAGAGTGAGAAAGAGGAGAGAAGCATCAGTGTGTGGTTGCCTCTCAAGCGCCCCCTATTGGGGGCCTGGCCTGCAACCCAGGCATGTGCCCTGACTGGGAATCAAACCAGTGATCCTTTGGTTTGCAGGCTGGCACTTAGTCCACTGAGCCACACCATCCAAGGGCCTGCTTTTAAGGTTCTTATTCTACTGGACCCATAAAGCAAGTGGTACCAACAGCCTTTTACGGAACTTGTGAAATGATTCTGTGGCTTCTGTGACACTCTGGTGGCTGAGGAGGCTTCTTTCCTGATTTCTCTTCTACTCACCCTATGAACGTTGCTATCCTGAATGCCAGGAGTGTAATAGGCATTCAATTTAAAACTTGCCGCATGAACAGATAGGAAGATAAGAGAAAATTTTGTCCTGTCCATTCTTCTTACTAGTTTTGACACCCCAGTCCATGTATTTGGGGCCTCCCTGGGACAGCCAGAGTAAGAAAAAGTCAAGGCCTTGTAAAAAAAATATGGTGTCATCTCCTTTCACATCAGCCTGCTACAGCCAAGGTTGCACCTGATGCAGCTCTTCACAAGCTGCCCCACCCAAAGATGATGCTTCCCATAGCCTCGGCCTTGGTGATGCTAAAGACCTCTCAACTGGCCTTGCCAGCTGTCCCCAAATATTTAGGTGGTAGGTACCTTCTACCCGTACTCAGCTATCTTGTGGTACGGACTGGATGGGGTTGGTGAGGACTCAAGAGCTTAAGAATCTGGCTTTGCACATAAAGGGGACTTCAGTGCTGACCGGTAAATGCACCATTGTTTCTGCCAGTGTCACCTTCTTCAGTTTTTCTTTATTATCCATGCAGCTCTCCTTGGCTTTGTACTAGACACCTTAGCCTCACGTACACATTATTCCCATGCAGCATCCCCTCTATCCCATTTCTTCTCTACCTAGTACAGATGATTGAGTTCATCAGCCAGCACCAACATCTTCCCCTGTGACACCTTTCTAGGTGGTATCACCAACTCCTGTGGCTCCCCCCCGGTGACACATGAGTATCTCAAACTCCACATCCACCCCGCATGTGCTTTGTGTCTAGCTGTGATTTTTGTGGACTGTCAGTCCCCCTTGCTTCTTGATTTTGTTGTTAGTGTTCACCCTCTTCTCCCAGTGCGCGTGTAAGCAGGCGCACAACGACCCTCATCCAGGCCTCCTCTCTCCTCTCTTACGGGACGGTTATCATGGACGACCTTCTTGCTTGGCCTTCTCGCCATACCCTAGTTTTTCCCTGCTCTAGTTGGCCCCATGATGCTACCAGAGTCTCTGCATCAAATCCTGCTGGGCCACAGCGTGGCCTCATATGCAAGTTCTTCCTAGCATACTGCTCACACACCTTATCCTGGGACTACAAGCATTCTAGCACCAACCTTCAAAGAGGCCACACCGTCACACCTCCAGGCCTCTTTTGCCTTTGCCCACTCGCTCACCTTCTGGCAAACCCCAGCTCATCTTCCCAGGCCAGATGTGGTCATCTCTTGCAAAGCGTTTTGTTCCCTTAGGCCACCCCGAAGCCTGGTGAGTGCTGTGTGCTCCATGATGACGCTGCCTGCCCGAGTGGTGCTCATTTCTCTGCTGCTCTGTTTTGCAGTCAGTAGGGCTCTTTAGGTGCAGAGAGAAAGTCTGGGTTGTCTCTTTGAGCTCTAGGCCTGGCCTATCACATGTCAAGAGCACTGAGAAGATATATGAGAATATAACAGAAGTCAGGTTGCTTTTCTTTAAAAAGCCATTGTGGCCCTGGCTGGTGTGGCTCAGTGGATTGAGTGCTGGCCTGTGAACCAAAGGGTCGCTGGTTTGATTCCCAGTCAGGGTGCATGCCTGGGTTGTGAGCCAGGCCTTCAGTAGGGGGTGTGCAAGAGGCAACCACACACATGTTTCTCTCCCTCTCTTCCTTCTTCCCTCCCTCTCTCTCTAAAAATAAATAAATAAATAAAATCTTTCAAAAAAGCCATTGTGTTAAGTGTGAAAATTAGGGGATGGCAAGGTGAAGGTACCTCTGGTGGGATGGATTGGGGTGCCAGTGGGTGATCGCAGGGTGAGGCATCCATTGGATCATAGTAGCGTATCTGTGACTGAGAGAAGTGGGGGTGTCTGTGGATGATGGTGGTGTCTGGGGGTGCCAGTGGGTAAATGTGGGGCAGGGCATTATGGACAGTGGGGAGGTGCCCCTGGCTGAAGAGGGTGGAGACATTCATGGGTAAAGGGGGTAGGTTGGGCTGGGCATGCACAGAGAACGTGGGGTGCTCCTGAGAGACTGCCCCCTGCTTTTTTCTGGGCTGTGCGCCTGGTTTGTCTGAGTGTGGAGTGTGGCTACACGGCTGAGAAGAGGGTCCTGCTGACACATTTCTTGTCCCTCCAGGTTGTTCTTCGTGGGCTCCCGTGAGGGCCACCTCCCAGACCTTCTGTCCATGATCCACATTGAGCGTTTTACACCCATCCCTGCTTTATTGTTCAATGTAAGCTCTGGGAGGAGTGTGGGGACTGGGTGTACCTTTATACTAGTCCTGCTGACTTGGTGAGATGACTGTGGGGTGGGAGGTATACTAGCTTCCTTGAGATATTTCCTGTGCCTCTGCGTTTTTTTCTTAAAATGACTTTAAAATATAAAAGTAAAATATCATATTAGAGAAGGCAAATGCTATAAAAGAATATAAAAATGAACTTGGAAGATTTCTCTTTTTTAAAGACTTTATTATTTTTAGAAAGGGGAAGGGAGGGAAAAAGAGAGGGAGAGAAACATCAATGTGTGGTTGCCTCTTGAGTGCCCCCCACTGGGGACCTGGCCTGCATCCCAGTCATGTGCCCTGCGAATTGAACCGGTGACCCTTTGGTTCTTAGGCTGGCACTCAGTCCACTAAGCCACACAAGCTAGGGCATCTAATCTGCATTTCTAAGGTGCCAGGACAACAGAGCTGGTTCTGGAGGCATTTGCCCATTTGTACGCCAGGTAGTTAGGACCCATGTGTAAAGATCTGGAGGGCACCTTGTGATTCATGTTGAGGTTGTCGGTTGAAATGAGGGCCTCGCTGTCGGCCATCAGAAGGGGAAAGGAGTTTGGCTTGTTATCGAAGTGTTTGCAAAAAGAAGAGAGGCATTGAGTAGAGGAAGGGCCCCCCAACAAAAAGGAGAGGTACGACCTTGAAGGTTAAGGTGGAGAATGGACCCTTCTGAGGCCAAGGGACCACTGAAGAGAATCGGAGGTAATCTGGTGAAGCTAAATTAGCAGTTAGCAGGTCCGTCCGGTGCTGACTGCTGGATGGAGGAGTCTCGTGGGGTGACATCGCCCTGTTGGTGACTGCTCTCTCCTGCTCCCTCCCTCCCCGTCCAGTGCACCATGACACTCATCTACCTCACTGTGGAGGATGTCTTCCTGCTCATCAACTACTTCAGCTTCAGCTACTGGTTCTTTGTGGGCCTGTCTGTGGCTGGACAGCTCTACCTTCGCTGGAAGGAGCCCAACCGGCCCCGGCCTCTCAAGGTCAGTAGCTGTGGGCAGACTAAGAGGGCTGGGCCCTCTCCCCATGGTGCCTTCTCCCCCGAACTCTCTTCCCCCATCCCAGTTTTACCTAATGTCTCACCTCCCTCCATTTCAGCTGAGCCTGTTTTTTCCCATCGTGTTCTGCATATGCTCCTTGTTTCTGGTGATTGTGCCCCTTTTTGGTGACACCATCAATTCCCTCATTGGCATCGGGATTGCCCTCTCCGGAGTCCCCATCTACTTCCTGGGTGTCTACCTGCCAGAGTCCCGGAGGCCACTCTTTGTTCGGAATATCATAGGTGAGCTCCTCTTTGCCCATCAGTCACTGGCATGGCGTGCGTCTGTGTGTGTGTCCGCACACTCGCACTCAGGTGGAGAGGTGGAGGTGGGTGAGTGGCTGACAGCCTCCTCCTTGCTAGTGAGGTGCTGGAGGCCGTGAGACTGGCCGCCCCACATGACTCTTTCCCTTTGGAGCGTGATATGATCACTAGTTTTATCTTTAGAGTCCCATTTTAGGGTTAAAACACTACCCCCCAAAAGTCTATGTGGAAACATGAGGAGCCATGCGTGGGGCTGGGGATGTCAAGGCTTGTTGGGGGTGAGGGGCAAAGCCTGGCACAGGGCACTCGAGGGAGAGGTGGGGAGGGAGCCACAGATGTGCTTTAATCAGTCTGTGGTCTTTAGGTTGGAGTTGTAGCTGAATGTCAGTTGGCTGAATTCTCTTCTTTCTTTATTTAGCCACTGTCACCAGAGTCACGCAGCGTATTTGTTTTTGCGTCCTGACTGAGCTAGATGTAGCTGAAGAGGGAAAGGTTGAGAGGAAAACTGACTAGAGGCTGCGGTGAAGTTCCCTGAGGCCTAGAAGGTTGGCTAACTGTGGCCACAGCCACCAAAGTCCAGATGACACGACTTTGTGGGCCCAACCCTCTTGGACTAAAGGAGCCTGTTGGCCCACATTATGTAAGGGGGCTTAGGGCCGACGGCCTCCTCAGGTGGTCGCTCTTATTGGTAAGCCACGGGAAGAGACTTGGAATCTGGGGCCAGCCTGGAGGTGGGGACTCAGGGGTGGGGGGGGGGGTGGGGGGGTGGGGGGTGGGGGGGGGGTTGGGAATGGGCTGGGTTTTGTTCCAGGTGGGTGGTGCATCCCATACAGACACTTGCTCAGTTGCACTGGGGGAAGAAGAGTGCTAGCTACGTTAATGGGTGTAGCTGGTGGTTTCTAAATTGGGTATCTGAGGTTTGAATTAGGAGTCTCTACAAAGGGGCTGCCCTTACAGGAAGCTTTCCTCTGACCAGGTCCAAGCACCTGACTCTAGAGGCCTAAATGGCTACCATTTCTTCCTCTGGTTCAAAACCCTTCCCTGGGGAGATTATACTCCCAAGTACCAAAGCCGAGGCCCTCTGTCTTTAAGAGGCGTCTCTACGTGGTGGTGGGTCAGACTGACCGCAGATTTTGCTTGGTTTTAGCACAATCTTCTGTGAAGTCTTACCTGCCAAGGTTACCTTTAAATGTTTTTTACTCATGTTCCTGTACATTTTAGTATATAGATGGATGACATGTTACAAGCACCTGGCTGAAGTTCAGCAAGGACAGGTGAACCAATTCATGAGTCAGAAGTCTGGCAGTACTGCTATTTTGAAGGATAATCCTTTATTTTACTTGAGACCTTGTCTTTATTCTAGTTGATAAAGTAAATCTCTGGGTTTCTGGTAAGAACTTTAAGAGGACAGAAACTTCTCGAGTTCAGGTGGATCACCTGGATTCTTTCAGCTGTTAATGTCTCATGGACCCAAGCCACCAAATAGCTTGTTCCCCTCTGTAAAGGTCGGTGTGAGGGGCTGCTGTGCAGACCCATGCAAGCCCACCTTGGTGCTAGAGGTGGTCTTTTTTTCCTCGGAAAACCTCACACCAGGCTGCATCCTCCTCTTCTGTTCCCAACACCAGGCTTTGTTTACACTGAGCCGCCTTGGTGTGGATCATCAGGATAGCGCACTCCTCTCCCGCCCGCCTCCTGGCGCGAGGTCTGGTGGGGCTTGTCTCAGGAAGACCTTGGTACTTATGGAGACTTCTGTAATTCCCCCGTGATCAGTGAAGACTGGGGGGAAAGCTGCTTCAACCTCAGTCTGGCTTCTCAGCGGACTGCACGACTGGAAACAACTGATTCTGGTGCTCAGGCTGCTCTCTGGCACCCAGGCCAAACCAGAGCAGCAGGTTCGCCCTAACGGATGCTCCTTCTAGCAGCACGGCCTTACTGGATCGTACAGCTTCCCTGGGATGTCCTCGGACTGTCATTGACCAGTGGTAAAGACAAGAACTACAAGGCAATCTTCCATTCTGACTGGCTTTCTCCGCCGAACTGGCCCATCCCAGACAAGGGGGTAGGGCATACTTGCTCAGTAAGGACAACTTAGGGGAGTGAGCTCACAGTGGCTTTTGCTTTAGGGCAAGCACCTGTGAGAGTGTTGGGGGACATTCCTACTATCCTGGGTTGGGGATACACGCAGCAGATTCCCGTCCGACAACAGGGAGCCCTGTGCAGAGGGTAACTTGCATTGATTATGTAAACATGACTCCTGACTGAGTGAGGCTGGCATCTGTCCCAAGGATCCTCCAGAGCTAATCCTTTAAGCATACTGCACTTGTCTGGAGGATCCCTGAGCCAGGCTTTAGCTTTCTCCACTCAAGTGCATGACCAGCTAATTCCAGGAACTTGTTGCTCCCTAGTGGCTGCCAGGGAAAACAAGGGCCTCACACCCCAGGTGCCCTAATACTTGCTTATGAGCCATGTTACTCTCCTCTCGTTACTGGATGGTGACTGCATTCTTCCCTTCTCTGCTGGGTACAGACTCTTCCTAGGAACCGTCCTGTGGGAGGGAAGCCAGAGACTTCTCCACTCGGGCTTCATGGTGGAATTGATTTCCATCAGGTTTTTGTTCATCAACCTCAGTCCTCCTGGTATGCTAATCCCTTTTGCAGTGGGTACGATTTGTGAAGTTGTCAGCCGTTTAATGTTGGCAAACCTCAATGAGTACATAAACAGCAGGAGCACATTACAGTGGTACAGAGTGGTTTCTAATCCTCCGTTTCTGCGCCTATAGGAGACTACGATGACTAGTATTTGACATTTAAGTTGCTGCCTGTTACTTGCAACACTGAATTGTACCTTTGTGGACAGTTAGGGTTGGAAACCAATAGTCTGTTGGTTTTACAGCTGCAGTAGTAGAGCATGAGAACACATACACATGAAATTTAATCATTTTGCCAGGTTTAACAACTCTGTAGATAGGAACTCATGTAGGTAAAGACTTACAAAAAGTGAGTGAAGGCAGGATGGGAAAGCAGAGATGCTTATGCAATGTTCGGAGAGGTGGGGAGACACATCCCTGTGTAATTCCCCTTCCCATGTGACTGAGTGTGTGTCAGGGGCAAGAGGGCACAAAGAACCTTTGAATAGAAGGTTCTGTGTTATTAATTGCCCCAGATGTGTGCTATCCAGTACAGTTAGCTACCAGCCACATGTAGCTAGTTAAATAAAATAAAAAATTTCAGTTCCTCAGTTGCACTCATCACATTAAAAGTGCTCAGCCCCATGTGGCTGGTGGCTCCCACTGCACAGTACACATGCAGAACACAGTCATCTTTGCAGAGTTCCACTGGACAGTGTTACATTAGAAGGTTAAATGCCAGCTCAGTGAGAGGGCAGCTGTGGGTTGGAAGGGGTAGGGATAGAGAATTTGCTTACAAGAGATACAAGTTCTGGTTAAGAAAAAAACAAAAACCTGTTGGTAGTTTCTGGTGACTGCTGTAAGTAGTTAAATATCTGTCAGTGGGAAGCTAAGTTCAGGATGTGCTTTCCTTTTCTTAACTTGCCTTAAGTTCGCATTGTCTAAGGCCAATTCTGAAACTTCCATCTCACTCATCCCCTATTTTTGGTGGGGGGCTTGAGTGGGAGAGGGAGCACAATGGGAAAACACCTAACAGATTCAGGTTTAAAGGGTTTTCAAGGAGTTACACACTCACATATTGAAAGTTTTTATTAGATGCAAAGTATCACATTCACACACACCCTGTCCCCCAGCACTGCCGCTGCAGACAGACAGACAGCAGTCCTTACAGTCACGGCACAGGAAGCAGGGACATGGAGACAACCGCAACTAAAACCCCTCGCACCTCAGACAGGTCCCACTCCCTTTCCTAACGGCCATTACCATCCACCCAGTCTGTGCTGCGACCAGGACCCTCTGTAGTCCTCCCAGATTCCCTCCCTCCAACAGACGGGTGTGTACTGCAGGCACGTGGCCTGGGGGTATGGGAAAGCTGGACCTCGGTTCTGACAAAACAGGAGCTTCTCCTCCACTTACTGGCTTCAGTGTAGGGGGAGGGCAGGAAATGCCTGGGCCAGGAAGCTTCATTTTTGTGGCCTTTTCTTTTGTCCCCCGACTGTAGGGTCAGTTATGATTGAGGCAAAGGGGCCCTACTATGAGTAGAAAAGACACTCTCCTTCAGGACACGCTTTCACTGGTAGGATATGATGCTGCTGGACACGCTTTTCCTTCCACGTGTTCCCCCGGGAAACCCATTACCAGGGCGGCCGACGCTGCAGTCGGAGCCCTCAGGGGCCCGTGTAGAACCTCACGGATGTCACAGGACCCTCAGTCCGAATCCAGGTCATGGGGGCTGTCGTAGCCAAACTCCTTCTGCACATCCAAAGGGTATTTGTTCCACATGTGTGGCCTGCTGCTGCCTCCTTCCTCGTCACTGAAGCTGTTGTATTCATCGGAGCCTAGAACGACATGACAGGACTGGGCTCCAGCTGCATGACTTTTTTAGGTGACTCTGAGAGCCCCTTCCCTTCTCAAAAGGTCTGTTTGGTTGTTTGTTTGTTTGTTCACCATTTAAAAATACTTGTCCCATAAAGAGAATTTAGAACAACTAAAATCACATTGCTGTATTTTGTTATTTCTCCGCTAAGTACGGATTTTTTTTCTTTTGGTTATAATAGTTACAGTAATATGATAAATATAATTTTGAAACTTGTCCCTTTTAACATATTACAGGCACTTTCCCAATAGATTATTACGTAGTTTGATTATTTTTCCTCCATTAACAGACACAAAGAAACTCTTTGTTGGCACTGAGGACCTGTCCCATGCCCTCTTAGACCTAAGCCGGGAAAGGGACACAGCTAGATGTTTCACTTCATCTTAACCACTGACGCTGCTGCGAGGCTCGATGAAGTGAAGAAACCTGCCTAAGACCCACAGCCAGGCCATGATAGAACTCAGTATTTGAACCCACCCCTGACATCACACCTCCAGCAGCCCCGTGGAAACACTGGTCTGTGGGCTTCTGTAGCTCCGACAGCTTATGGTTGAGCTACAGGAGCTCAATGGTGAAAAGCCAGTTCGGACGGACCTGTCAACTGTGCTCATACCTCAGTCCTGGATCCCAGCAGTCCCTCCCCATCCACCTACCTCTGGAACCTGCATCTCCGTCACTGCTTTCCTCCTCTGGGTACTCGTTGCGCCAATTATTCTCACTGTTCTCATCATCTTCATCTTCATAAATGTCCTCTGGTTCTTGGTCGTCATTCACCTGCACATCTCAACACAAACATGAATAAGTCAAAACATCTAAGGTTATGATCTTAGCAAACCAATTTGGAGTGATGTCATTTGAGGGTGCTGTGTGAAAAAGAGGCAGCTTGGGTTAGTTCGTCTCTGCTGCACAGCAGGCTACACTTAGATTACAAGAGGGAGACACTGGCCCTACTCCACTCCCAAGTCCAGCTCCAGGCACCACATTCCTGGTGGGACGGACGGAACTTCAGAAAGGAACGCCCCAGGGTGTGGAGAGACAGCTCCGAGCAGGCAATGGCAGGGAGGTTCAACCCGCTGCAGGGCAGCCAGGTGGGAGAGGGATTGTATGGATTATGGGTGATGTCAAAGATCAGAAACAAAACCCAGTGTAAGGGGTTCAGGAAGACAAGAGGAGGGGCTGTGCGAGGACTCAGATGATGGTTGTAGTGTAGGTATGCAACAAAGTGCTTTTCTCATACAAGTATGACAGGTACCACCTTCTCTCATGAATCATCTTAGAATTTAAGAATAATGATTGTCAGGAAGTTAGCTTTCCTAACCCAGGATTCCCCCCAACCCTTTTAAAAAAGATTTTATTTATTTTTAGAGAGGGGAGGAGAGGGAGAGAAACATCAATGTGCCGGAGATACATTGGTCAGTTGCCTCTCGCATGCTCCCTACTGGGGCCCTGACCCACAACCCAGGTATGTGCCCTGATCGGGAACTGAACCGGTGACCTTTTGGCTCTCAGGCTGGCACTCAATCTGCTGAGCCACACCAGCCAGGGCCAAGATTTTCCCTCTTATAAGACAGAATTTTTAAAATTCATATTAAAATTTCTGGGGTTTTTTGTCTTTATTATAAACTGCTATACCTCCCCTCCCCCCAGAGCGTGGGAAGGTATAAATAATAAATATGATATCATAAACCTTATAAAAAGTTCATTAAGAGCAAAAACTATAACTATAGACTCTCCCAAAATTCTCTGCATTAAACCCAGGTCCCTAGAAGGCACTGAGAATTTTTCCTTTTAAGCAAGAATAGGAGGAACCAAGAACACTGTTGATCAGGATTAGATAACCCAGGGAGGGAAATTACACAGACTACAGAATTGCTCTGGCTGCCTCGTGCCCTCACCCCCACGGGACCCCTTACCAGCTCCCACTCCTGGCTGTAGGGCTGCACGGAGAGGATATTCTCAATCCACCCTGGAGTGGCCATCTCCAGGTAGTAAATGTCATACACGTAGTCATCCTTCTGTTCCTTCCCGTGCCTGACGCCTGGTCCGTCCTCAGACACAGTCAGCCGTTCCCGGATCAACTCTACAGAATTGCAGAGGATCACATCTGGGTCAGATGCCTGTAAAGAAAACAGCAGATAACATGGATGTTCAAAGAGAAGGAACCTAAGAGTTGGGGGAAGGAAGCCTCCCTTTAGGTCTCTATGTTAGATTCGATATTATTCCCACAGCCCACTAGTTTCTTAATTAGCTATAAGATTAAAAAAACAAGTATCTCTAAAAAGGTAGTGTGCAGTTCTTCATTTGACATAGACTCAAGACAGACTCCTACTCGTTTGTGCCTGGCTGATGCAAGAGCCTATGTGAAGACGGGCTTAAGGAGAGGGGAGGGCCAGCAGAGCTGCTGAGTCTTGCCCGAGGTCTTCCTGAGCTCCCTTGGTAGGATGTTCTCTCCCTGGGGATCTGCAGGCCCACAAAAGCACCTCTACAGCTGACTCCCAAATAGGTCTGCATTTTGTGTGGCTTCCGACAGGGACCTAAGAGCTGTTCCTGAGCTCTGATAACTAACTACTACAAGCCATCACCCACCACTTCACTTGCCCACACTGATACCCTGCTTTTAATCACAACCAGGAGTGGATCCCCTTATAATCCTTTTCCTGCTAGAAAGAATAGCTCAAAATGGACTGCCCCAGAATGGAACTGGCCCAGGTTTAGATGCACTGCAGGGGCAACAGGCTGTTATTCAGGGTAGCATAAGCCAATTTGGAAACCAAAGAGACATGCTGCAAATGACCCCTCTCAACAGGTTCATCACGGGCTGTGCAGCTCAGACCAGACACCACACGGGGAAGTGAGGGTCTCCCATGGCCAAGGCAAATGAGGGGAGGCCAATGCTCTTGATCACAGGCTAAAGGGAATTAATTCTTTGCTCCAAAGTCAAAAGGAACCAGAGATGTCATTTTTTGTGCACACTCTTGACTACCCTCAAAGCTGTTCTAAAGGGAAGCTTTGACTCTGACTCAAGTCCCCAGCCTTCCGTCCAGCAGATCATGCAAATTTCTTCGCTATATATTTTTCAAATTTCCTATAATAAACATCAGTTTCATAAAAGTCAAGTCTGTGTGTGTTTACCCATTTTTTCAATTATACTACAAATAGCATTTTCTACCCTTAAACATATTTTATATATATATATGTATGTTTATATATATATGTTTATATATACAGGTCTGTATTTTGTATGGCCTCCTATAGGGACCTAAGAGCTATTCCTGAGCTCTGATAACTACTACAAGTCATCACCCACCACTTCACAAATATAAACACACACACACACACGTATTTATATATGTTCCCATCTTGGCAATCTTTATGGTTATTAATTTAAAGGTCCAGGCAGTTGTGTAGTCAATTTTCCTGCACTTGAAAATGGAGATAAAAGTACCAGTACTGCCCTAGCTGGTGTGGCTCAGTGGATGGTGCGCCAGCCTGTGAACCAAAGGGTTCTGGTTCGATTCCCAGTCAGGGCACATACCTGGGTTGTGGGCCAGGTCCTCAGTGGGGGGCGCACAAGAGGCATCCACACATTGATGTTTCTGTCCCTTCCTTTCTCCCTCCCTTCCCCGCTCTCTTAAAAATGTACTGGTATCTACCTCACAGGGATTCTGTGAGGTTTAAATGAATTTAAACCAACAGCAGCCTTTGTTAATACCACAGCTGCCTGTTTTTGCTGAATTATTTCCCTAGGGTAAATCCCGGGGGTGAGATTACTATATAAAAATAAACCAAGCCTTTTCATTTTTTCAGATTTCCTATCAAGTAGTACTTTATTGGCTTAAAACTTAAATATCAATTTATGAAAAAACCCACTATAATGTGGCACAGAAATGACAACACTCATTTAGAATTCTGGATGGTTTTAGAATCCAAACAATAAAAATAAATTTAAATGGTTTTAAAATAGGCCCCAAGCTATTTTTAGGATTCCTGATATGTAAAGCCATGCTGTTTTCCAAAAGACTGGCCTCAGTTTTAAGCCTAGTCATGTACTGTTTTAATCACGGCCTTGCCAGCAGTGCTGTCGACCACCTTTCCCCTGCTAGTCTTAGTAGGGATGAAACCTCAAGTTTGCTTTCACCTTAAATTCATGTTCTTTAAATAATTACTCTGCAACCATTTTTGATGTGTTTATAGTTTGTTTTCCATTGTTGGGAAAAATTGTGTTCACATCCTTCAATTTATTAGTTTTTTCTTATAAAACTGAGCTATTTAATTGATTTCATTCTGTGGAACATTGGTTTACTTTTAAAAATTATGACTGGTAACTCATGAATGAGTCTGGAATTAGTGTTAGTAAAAGATGTGGCTATAGCCCTGGCTGGTGTGGCTCTGGATTAAGCACCAGGCTGCAAACCAAAGCATCGCTGGTTTGATTCCCCGTCAGGGCACTTGCCTGGGTTGCCGGTAGGGGGTCAACCAGAAGCAACAATGCACTGATGTTTCTCTCCCTCTCTTTCTCCTTCCCTTCCCTTCTGTCTAACAGTAAATAAAATCTTAAAAAAAAAAAAAAAAAAAAAAAGATATGATTGTAGACATTATGCTCAAATTGCTATCCAGGTATGCTAGCACCATGGTTTTGCCTGATGTATTTTGAATTAAAATTTTACTTTTAAAACTTAAAACTATTAAAAGGAATGAAAAAAATTTTTAATGCTTTTTAAGAGGGGTAATGCCTTAGTCTGAGAATTTTCTATTCTTATGAACTTACTCTAAACAGACTTTGTTTTCTGGAAGTGAGGCACAAAAGACACATACATGTAATGTGGTAAAAAGAACACTGGATTAAATGTACGTTTTTGGCCTAAATCTGCCTCAGACTTGATATGTTACCCAAGACTACTCCTTTAACCTGCCTTTTCTCATCTGCTCTATCTTCACCTTGCTCAAAATCCTCCAGGAATTCCTCATCTCAGGGAAAAAAAGGCAATGGTCCCTTAGAAGTACCTATAGGATCTAGTAAATATTCTTTCCCCAAATTCCTCATTACTATTCTCCCTCAGTTCACTGGGCTTCAGGGACACTGACCTCCGAAACATCAGACAAACTTGACTTCAGAGTCTTGGCGCTTGCTGGTCGTCAGCCTGGAATGTCCCTCCCCAAGATATCCATAATGCCCTGCCATTCGCCTCCTTCAAGGCTTCACTCAAATGGCATTATTTCAGTGAGACCTCTGAAATGGAACCACTCTCCTGATTCCCCTTCCCCCTGCCCTCTTACAGCCTACATCACCACATGACGCTGAATTTACTTGTTCTCCTTCTCTATTTGAATGTTAGGTCCTCACTGCTCTAGCCACAGAATACCTGGCACATAGTGGGTGCTCAGTAAATACTTGTTGAATGGATAACCGAATCTGTAAAAACAAGGCTATCAAGCCAGAGGGATCATCTATTAATAAAATGTGAAGCCATGTGCACCTTCTTAACTGTGTGCTGACCCAGATTCCTGGCACTACCTGTCCGAAGAAGCCCGGCTCTCTTCCCAGCGTGTACTCACTTTGCAGGAGACGGCAGCAGCGGTCTCTGGGTCTCCTTCTTCGTGGATCAGTTCCAACAGCTGGAAGCCTGCGCCGTCGTCGGCTTCTGGGTTTCCCCGCAAGTCCTCGGACTCCAGGCCATCCGAGGGAATGTTCGAGGATCGGCGGCTAGAGACCACCCTGTAGCGGCCCTCTTGCCGGATCTCCCGAAGCGAGGAGCGGAGGTCGCGGCGGATGCGCCGCTGGCTGTCCCGGGACGGGCGCAGGGCCGCTCGCAAGAGCGGCTGGACCGGATCCTCCTAGAAGGCAGTAGGGGAGGGGGGCCGGCGTTAAGTAGGGGTTCGTGTAGGGGTCAAGGATTCAGTTTCATCCTGGCTGCGCCCTAAGATTCCCTCCACCCGTCTCCATCCCCGCCCAGTACCTGGGAGCGTACGGTGGCCACCAACTGGAAGACATTATTCTCTGCCGCTGTCTCCAGGCCCTCGGGGGGCGTCTTTTGGGCCTCTGACTCGACTGCGTCGCTCCGGGGCCGTTTACAAGCGAGGACTAGAGCCTCAGCTGGTTCCGCGCTGCGCTTCCGCTTCACGCGGAGTACGGCTGTCCTGCCGGCCTCCATAGCAGCTCTCGCGGAGCACTGTGGGAACGCGTGGGGTGAGATGGGAGAGCCTTTAAGTTCCGCTTCCGGGCCCCGCCCCCGGCACGCTCTGCTGGCGTAGGAAGGTCCTGCCCCCTCACGCCGACAGCGACAATGTGGCGGTGGCGGCAGAAGTGAATACAGCGGTACCCACGGCCAGTGAGGCGCTGGCCATGTTGGGTAGGTGGGATCGCTTTGGAGTCCCGGATGCAGCCAGCATCCTGTTCTCATCTTCAGGCCTCCGGCGGCAGGGCCTGGCGTGGGCGTTCTCGGATGCCGGGAGACGCAACTCTGCGGGACCCTCGAGGACCTTTCTAGAGTCCACATGTGACGGCTCAGGGCGCCGGGGCTGGCAGTAGAGCGGGGTTCCAGGCGGGCCCCGGCTCTGCAGTCCTCTATGGTGATTGCCGCTGGCTGGGCCCATGGGTGGAGCGCCTCCGCTGTGAACTGATTCACAGGATGTACCTGGAGTCTCCCCTCAGCAACAGAGCTTGGGATGGTGGTTTCCATTTCCTCCTTGTAAATGACCACAGGAGTTGACAGTTCTTGGAGAATGAAGAGGGGGCCAGGCTATCCCCTGGATCTGGAGTGCGGTCCCCTTTGGGGAGAGGACAAGTCAGTAATAGGTGAAGAGATATATCCATAGAAGATGTATAGTGCCTCACTCAGAGAGGTTGTAGGGCACGGTTCCCCTTCTCAAGCATTCATTTAGATTAATATGAAGCCAGTGACTTACCTACAGCTCTGAAAAGACCCTGTGGTCCTGAGCAACATCACAGACCAAAAGGGCATTCCACAGGATGAGAGTTTCTAGACCCTCCACAAGATGGACCTCATTAACATGTTTGGCTCCTTAATCAGTTTAACTTAAGCTAAACTGATTTGTCCGCTGTGCACGACAGCCTAAACCTTTCTTGTGTGGTGAAGTGCCCTCTTCCCACGCCCACCTAAATCCTAAAATCCTAAAATCCTTAAAATACCCGTCTTTTAAGCCTTCCCTGAACATTCAGTGAGATGTGGTCTTTTCTTTCTGCTATGGCATTTGTGGACACAGTTTTCTAAAGCACATGACAGATACAGGTAGTTCTAGATATTCTGTGTTTTAAAAAGAAATAGCATATGAGATGTGCAGAGCTCATTTTAGCAATGGTTTTTCAGACGAGGTTGTAAACCATTGGTAAGTTACAAACTCAATTTAGTGAATCATGATCAATGAAAAAATAAAATAGGATAAGGTATATGAGAGCCTTGCCCATAGGAAGGCTAAATACGTACTGTTTTGTGAAACTTGTCAGTTATATGTGCAAGTGCGTGTAATGTGACTTGGGGTAAAATATATTTCTTACTGGGGGTTTCAGAAGGACAGAGTGCTAGGTTATGGAGCAGGTAAACTGGGATTATAGAAGCAGAGTTACGGAAAGTCAGGTTGACTACTTTGAACCGGGCCACTGACTGCCTGAGTCTTTTCTGAAGAGAGTGTTTCCCATCCTCTTGTATAAGAATCAATGTTTACTTAGTCTAGATAATTTCAAAAGAAATTCAATAGCTCTGGCCAGTAAAATGCCTCAGGAATATTTAGGGGACCTCCTCCACAAAAAGTGATCAGGTTTCCTGGAGGTGGATCAGGGTTTAACTGGAAATGAAGGGGCAGGTGGAACACTTGGTGTTTCTGAGTGGTCAGAGGGGCCACTGGCAGAGCTCATTCCTGCTGAGACGTACCTTCGCTCTTTGAGCTGTGGTGTCCCTCTGTCTCTCAGAAACAGATCTCTTTGGGAGAAAAGACTGTGCAAGACATTTTATCTGTCTAGTGGCACTCTTTATCTGAAGCAAAACTTTTTTCAGATGAAGGCTTTTTGAAAATTACTTTTAACATTAAATACTGGGTAGATGAGAAGCATTTATTATAAAAAACAGTGAGGCGTAGAGAATGACAGTATCATGAACACCTGTATTCCTACCACCCAATTTTAGAAAAAGAATATTACTTTTGAAGCCCCCTGGGCGGTTCTCCTTGATCCCACCCTTTTCCCTTTCTTCTTAAAGATTTCCATTGTCCTATTCCCTGCTATGTGTTTTTGTGTGATACCTGAAGAATGTATTATTCTATTTGCATAATTATAAATTTTATATAAATGTTTTAAGATTTTATTGATTTTATTTATTTATTTTTAGAAAGAGGGAGCGGGAGGGAGAAAGAGAGGAAGAGAAATATCAATGTTTGGTTGCCTCTCACGTGGCCCCCACTGGGGACCTGACCTGCGCCCCAGGCATGTGCCCTGACTGGGAATCGAACTAGCAACCATTTGGTTCACAGCTTGAGCTCAGTCCACTGAGCTACACCAGCCAGGGCCTATGTAAACGTTATATAAGTTCTGTGACTTGCTTTTGTGTGTGTGCGATTTGCTTTTGTTCCCCGTCAATATCAAATTCCTGGGATTATCCATGTTTGTGTACAGCTGTGACTTACATGTTTGGATGAAGGTTTTCCTAAATTGTTTGAATTGCTCTATCTTTGTATTTTTCCTTAAACTAAGTGTTTAGTATCCCTAGGTAGTATTGTTGACACTCCTTTAGCACCATCCCAGTCTCTGTTCTTTCCTCTCCTTTATTTCTTTCTCACCTGCTTTTATTTGAGGCTATTCCCAGACCCAATGTTCAAACTAATTTCACCCTGTTGCAATCACTGAGGACTGCTGAAGTTTTCACATAGCTTTATGAACTTACGTATTACAGTTTTTGGTGTTATGTGTGGAATATAAAACCAAGTAACTTGCTGTAAAAATGAAAATACTGGTTAACAAATATTTTTAGGTGGCTTTGACCTTTTTGTCAATGTCTTGATTTCTTTATTTTCCTTTTGTTTTCTTGCCTTTTAATGTTTTTTTTTCTTTACATTCTTGGTCATTATGATGTGATTAGATTTCTGACCACCTCAGCTGTCCATAAGAAGTAAGCTGGCAAGTGATGAAACTGAGGAGCTGATTGGCACCATGAAAGTCTTCTGTGGGCGGGCCAATCCGACCACGGGGTCTGTGGAGTGGCAGGCAGAAGATGAGAACTATGATTACCACCAAGAGATTGCCAGGTAACAAGGGTTTGTTCACAGTTGGCTGCAGCTGGCGAGGGGCGGGGGTACTTGATCTCAAAGCAGATGCCTTGGAAATTGATCTGATTGCGGAATAAAATGTCACCCAGTGCTGCTGGGTAGGTGTTGGTCCTGAGCAGGTGTGATCAGGCAGGCACGTTTGTGTGAGAGTTAGGCTGAGTTGTGCCTGCGTGGGGAGTCGGCGGGTCTGTGTAGTGGAGCAAAGAAGACCCAAGGTTCATTCACTGAAGTTTCATAAAACTTCATGAAAGTTTTATGAAATGATGAACCGAAAGGTCTCCAGTTCGATACCCAGTCAGGGCACCTGCCTGGGTTTCAGGCCAGGTCCCCAGTTGTGGGTACGGGAGAGGCAACCAACTGATGTAGAATCTCTCGCACATCGATGTTTCTCTTCCTTTCTTTCTCCCTCTCTTCCTCTCTCTCTAAAAATAAATAAGTAAAATCTTTTAAAAAAAGGAAGAAAAATGCTTTTTTTTTCTTTGAAGGGATGTTTAAGAGCATGTGCGTTCCTGTCATTTAGCAATTAGTAAGTGCATACACCATGCCAGCTCTGTGCTAGGGCTGTGAATACCAAAATGAAGAAAGGGTTCCCATCCTTAAGAAATGGCAATTTTGTGAAAGAGACAGATGTATAAAAAATTACGGCACTGTGAGATAAAGGCGAGTAGAAATGGGCTCAAAAGTTCATGCAAGCAGCAGGAACCAGCTAGGCTGGGGACACTGATATCTAAATGGAGAGAATTGCTTTCCCAGCAGCAGAGATTACATACACATTCCCAAATGAACTGTCTGGGGTCAGCAGGCAGTACAGTGTGCTGGAGCGTTGTGTACCAGTAGGGCTGTCTTGAGAGCCCTACTCATGGTAGGGCTGAAACGGTAGGCAGAGATCATGTTGTAAAGGTTGGTGAAAAATACAGGAAGAAGAACATGAATATGCATCTGGGCTCTGCTGCTTCTCAACTCTGACACTGGCCAAGCTACTTAATTTCTCTGAGCCTGAATATTATAATCCTTAATATACGATATATTGAGTCAGCCAAAAAGTTCATTTGATTTTTTTCCTGTAAGATGGCTCTAGTAGTGCTTAGTTGTCTTTAACTTCATTTGAAACAGTTTTGTTAGATTGTATTTTGACTGTTGTCATATGAGTGTGCATTTTAAAAAAACTTACCAAAATGGGTGAATCTTTGTGTAGCCATTTTAATATTGAAGAAAATAAGAACATTTTCGGCATATTATACTTTGTATTTCAAGAAAGGTAAAAACACAACTGAAATGCAAAAAAAAAGGTTTGTTCAGTGTATGGAGAAGTTGCTGTGACTCGAACACGTCAAAAGTGGTTTGCGAAGTGTTGTGCTGCAGATTTCTCACTGGACGGTTCTCCGCAGTTGGGTAGACCAGTTGAAATGGAAAGCGATCAAACTGAGACATTAATTTAGAGCAATCAGTGTTATCCCACATGGGAGACAGCCGACATACTCAAAATATTCAAATCAATAAAGTTATTCGTGAAAATTTAAAGTGTGTTGTTTATTTTTTTAAAGAGTCTATTTATTTATTTTTAGAGAGGGGGAAAGGAACAAGAGAGAGGGAGAGAAACATAAATGTGTGGTTGCCTCTCATGCACCCTGTGCTGGGGACCTGGTCTACGACACAGGCATGTGCCCTGACTGGGAATCGAACTGCAACCCTTTGGTTCACAGGTCCCCGCTCAATCCACTGAGCTACACCAGTCAGGGCTCTTTTATTTTATGGAATAACTAAATAGGCTTTTTGGTTAACATAATAATAATAACAACAATAATAATAAGTTTTAATGTAATATGTATCTCATCATAATACCCTTATCTTAGGGTAGTTCAATGATCGAATGAAATACAATATATGGTACAGAACAAGGGCTCAAAAGTATTTCTTTTTAAATACTTTGGACAGTATTATCTGAGTGATTGAGATGTTAGAGGAGAAAAAGGAGTAGTTTAGGTTTTGGAGCATTCACTGAGAGCAATGTGGAAAGTGGGCTGGAGGGAGTGTGGATATTGCAACCCCAAAGCAAAGACAGTGGAGATGGAGGAGACAGCTTTGAGGGAGCCTGAGTTTGATGACTCATAGGCAGTGATGGAAGGGGAGGAAAATTCAAGAAGCAGCGGGATTTCTGGTCAGAGTGACTAAGTAGATGAGCTGTTGTTTCCTGAGAGGAGGAACACAGGAGGAATTGGACATCCGGTAGAGATGCCAGTGGACACATATGTGGATCTGGACCCAATCTGCAGTTGTTAGTGAGAGTTGAAACAAGGCTCTCGGAGATGGTGTGGAATGAGAAAGGTAGAAAGCTGAAGGAATCCGGGAATAGCTGAGGAGGCAGGAGAGCCGGGAGGAAATGGCCAGATCGCAGAAAGGAGAAGAGCATTCAGGAAGAGGGAGTGTCCGGCAGGGCCAGAGAAATCCGGGATGTTAGCAGTTGGAGGGGAGCTTGGGGAGAGTGACGTCAGTGGAGTGGTGGGAAGTGGGTGGGTGATGAGGCGGGGAAGATGGGGAGTGAAAGTGCCTCTTAAAAAGGGGAGAAAGATATGAAGGACCAGATTGCAACTAAACAGCCATCAGGGGTTCAGATGTGAAAACCTTGGTGTGTCGTAAAAGAACCTTGTTCTTTCAGTGCAGTGCTTCTCAAAGCGTAGGATACGGATTGCCTTTGTCACAGTTGCCTGGAACACCAGTTCAAGTGCAGATTTCTAGACTTCCAGCCGATCTTCTGGATCAGAATCTCTTTGTGTGTGTGCTGGGGATCTGCATTTAAAATAAGCTCTGCAGTGATTCTGATCTTGACCGGAAGCTGGAGGTCCTCAGCTCCCACCTGGAACTCTCAGAGAGTATCTTTGTGCTGGGCCTGTGGAGTTCTGAGGACTCATCCCGACCCTGCTGCAGGCTCTCGAGTTTGTAAATGCTGTGGTTGAGAACATGGATGATCAACTCTCCCTTTAACGCTCTATGGTTCGGTAAACTCCTAGTGTTTCCAGGTGATGAGTCATAAGGGAAAGTGCTGGGCGCATTCTCCTTAGTGTTACGTGTGTGATTGTCCAAACGTACAAATATATGTAAGATTATGTAAATTAATATGTAAGATTAATATGTGTAAAGTATTAGAAACTGAGTCTGAGTTACTCTGAGGGAAAAAATGTGAGATGTATAACATGATCAGTGTGTTAGTCGCTTTGGAGTTAATGTGACTTATACTAGAGCATTCTTCGATCGGAGGTTCTTTGCTGAAAATAAGTATTTGTCTGATATTTTTCATGTAGTACCAGAGAATTATAGCGTATAACTGTCAATGTAAGAAATTCCAAACCTGTGGAGAATTTTTTTAAGGGTTTATTTGAGCCAAACTGCTGACATATGCTGGGGAGCAGGATCTCAAATGCTCCAGACAGTAACAGTTTTGCAACTTCTCTGCATTTGAAGTTGAGGAGGGAAATAAGATTATATGAAAGTGGGAAAAAGCAAGGTGGGAATTGGATTATAGGATAGTTAAAATTATCAAGGTTGGTTTATGTCAAAGGTGTATTAACTTAGGAATTTATGATCTAATCATCCTGTGAGGTTACTTTCCATACTCCCCCCCCCCCCTTTTTGTCCACATAATTTTATTAAAGTAGTTTGAAATCTGCCTGGATGATTTGTTCCATCTGATTTAAAAATGCATTTATATATGTATGTGCATATGCTCATATGTTGGTGTTTGCAGAGGTTTCTGACCTGTCTTTTTGTTTTTTAGATCTTCTTATGCTGATATGCTGCATGACAAAGACAGAGTAAGTGTTAAAGGAAACCATTATCTTGATGTGTGGTTTTGAAACTTTGTATTACTGCAAGGTTAAAAACTTGCCCCTGGGGAAGATGAAGCTCCCTTTGGGGGCATGATGTTAGAATGATGCAGAGTCAGTATGGTGTAGTGGTTGGGAAATCAGTCAGGGGGCTGTTCTAGCTCTGCCCTTGACTTGAGTCTCAGCTTGGAGAAACCAGGGGACCTCTGTGGTTTATTAAGTTTTAAAATAAGCGAGGTGCCCTGGCTGGTGTGGCTCAGTGGATTGAGTGCTGGCCTACAAACCAAAGGGTCACCTGTTCCATTCCCAGTCAGGGCACATGCCTGGGTTGCAAGCCAGGTCCCTGGTTGGGGGCGTGCGAGAGGCAACCAATAGATGTATCCCTCACACGTTGATGTTTCTCTCCCTCTCTTTTTCCCTCCCTTCCCCTGCCTTCAAAAAATAAGTAAATAAATAAAACCTTAAAAAAAAAGTGGATGTACTAGCTGATCTCCATAATCTCTAGATAAAAATTCTCTAGTTACATGATATTTCGCCTTGTGTAGTCAGTTTGTAATTTTAAAATAAAATCTGTAGAGGTCACTGCAAACTGTATTCTGTAAAGCAGATTTGGCTTTCATTGCAGAATTACGTTTCAGCTTTCCTCTGTTCATTTTTTCTTTTGTCTGAGTTTTCCTGTTTGAGTTATGGTCTTGTGATGTTAGCAACCCAGAATCTGCTAGTCTACCAGAGTGCTTGATGAGTCGATCTTACCTGGATGGTTTGGGAGCTAGGAGGCCTGAAGGAGAAGGATGCAGGAGAGTTTAAAACTGAGCAGTACAAAGCAGGAGAGGGACCAAGGCATGTGGTCAGGTTGGTCATGAGGCTGTGCTGGTGTCTCCTGCGCCCAGCCCTGGGCTCCCCCCTGCCCAGCCTGCTCTGTGGAAGCCCCGTGACAAAACGACCTTTTTAAGCATCATTAGTGCGTAGGCACCAGGTGCCTCCCTCATTTTCTTTATGTACCTGAGTGCCTTAGGATGTGGAATGCACATCGTTGTTGGCTTTTGACTACTCTCTGGCTCCAGTGGTCATGGCTTCTTATTAGACTCTTGGGACTGTGAGCGCCTCTGGTTTTAGTGTCATCTATAAAATGCCATTTGTCCCAGCTTCTAGGGAATTTGGATAAACGGCATTGCCATCCATCCAGTCAGCCAAGCCAGAAAGATGGCACCCTTCTCATTTGAACCTGCAGCGTGTTATCAAATTCTGTGCATCTGTCAACCCCACTGCCGTCTCAGCCCTCATTTACTGGATTTACTGGCGTTGGCCCCCATTTCCTTCCTGTGCACGGCGGCCCATGGTTTCTCTCTGCAGTGCCAGCTGACCGTGTTATTCTTCTGCTTTAACCTTTCAGTGGCCTCTTGTTGCTTTTGGGATAAAATGTAAACTCCTCGGCAGAACATTCATAGCTCCTCATTATTTAACCCTTTAAATTCTGCTCTTCCTCCCCAATTCTGCACACAAGGAAATGGGATCAGAACTTGCTGGTTAGTGGCAGAGCCGAGGTAAACATACCTCTCTACACTTGGGCGTGGTGCCTTGCATTTTGTTGTTTTAGAATAACCATCATCCCATAACATCATCTCGTGCCTGTTTGCCATCAGTCCCAGTGTCCACCCCAGCCAGCCACTGATCTACTTTCTGTCTATCATTTTGCCTTTTCTAGAAATTTCCTATAAATGAACTTATATATACCTTAGGTGTCTGGTTTTATTCATTATATTTTTGAAGTTCATATTGAGTATGTATTAGTATTCATTTCTTTTTATTGCTGAGTAATATTCCATTATATGGGTATGGATATAGATACTATATATAGATACTATATCCATAGGAGGCCTTGCCGACAAGTTATTTGTTGCCATTGAGATGTGGATGAAGCTTCAGGGAGTTCAGAATGAATTAAAAGTACAAGAGTTTATTTGGAGAGCCTGGTGTGATCACTGTCCCCTACATGGCAAGCAAATTGTGTGCATAAGGTTGTGCGCACAGGTGGAGACCATTCTGGAAAGGACCTCAGTGGGGACTGAGGACCCACTGTCCTGATGGGAGTCAAGGTGCTGGTGTGATGCTTACCTAGAAGCACGCACACCTTTGAGCCTGTAGGTACTTGAGGGAAATGCTGCATCTCTAAACAAAACTGGGTATTGAGAAAGGATGGGCAGCAGCCCTGACCCAGGAGCAGACGGGGTGGGCGGGGAAGTTGTCGAGCTCCAGTCTCTTTCCCCATCTTATCAGGCAGCGGCAGTCAGCCCTCCAGGGATGCTTCTGGGAACCTAAGGAGCAGGTCAGAACGCCAGATGATCTGGAGGACTTTCACTGGGCAGGGAACTTGAGGGGAGGGGGGGACAGGCTGGAAAAGACCAGTGTTGGAGAACATTCTCACCTTTGCTCTGCTCTGCTCCTGCCCTTGCCAAGGTTTTTAAAAGCTGTTACTGGTATATACAGTTTCAGTTGATTTGATTTGGAATCCTGTAATCTGAGTTCTCTCTCTCTCTCTCTTTTTTAAATTGTTGTTCAAGTACAATTTTCTGCCTTTTACCCCTATCCCAGCCCACCCCCCTGAGTTCTCTTAATTCTAATAATTATCTGTAGGTATTTTGGGTTTTCTTTGCAGACATTAATCTTATCTGAGAAAAATGACATTTTTTTTTCTAGACCACATCTCAATTCTTCTTGCTCTAACTCTGTGATTTTCAACTGATGTGCTACAAGAAATTTTTTTTAAAGATTTTATTTATTTGTTTTTAGAGAGGGGGAAGGGAGGGAGAAAGGTTGATGTGCGACAGAACATCGATAGGTCAGTTGCCTCTCGCACACCCCCAACCGAGGACCTGGCCTGCTACCCAGACACGTGCCCTGACCAGGAATTGAACCAGCAACCTTTTGGTTTGCAGGATGATGCTCAACCCACTGAGCCACACCAGTCAGGGCAAGCAAGAAGTTTTAAAATACGCAATACTTCACTATTTAGTTGGGGGCACTGACCTCTTTTTCTCTAGATTATCAGATAAAACAATGACAATAGCCAACACGATAGCCGTTTGGTGTGAATGAATCAGAATTATACTTTTCTTTTCGTCAGATCAAAAAATATATTTTTTGGTGTGTGCCACAGAATTTAAGTAATTAGTTTGTGTGTGCCATGAGATGAAAAAGGTTGAAAATTACCGCTCAAGTGTGTTGGGTAGAATGTGTAATTTAATGTCATTTGCTTCATGTTACTTTTTTTTTTTTAAGATTTTGTTTTTCTATTTTTAGAGAGAGGGGAAGGGAGGGAGAAAGAAAGGGAGAGAAACATCAATGTGTGGTTGCTTCTTGTATGCCCCCCACTGGGGACCCGGCCCACAACCCAGGCATGCGCCCTGACTGGGAATCCAGCCAGGGACCCTTTGGTTCCCAGGCCCACGCTCAATCCACTGAGCCACACCAGCCAGGGCCCTTTTTTAAAAATTTATTTGCTAAATGTTGTTCATGATCTCCTTTAATCTGTCTAATATCACAACATATATATTGATATTACCCGCTCGCTGCTTTCACACCAGCTCTTTGTTCCCAGTTTTTGGATTTTTGGTTCTTTCTGTCCCTTTACATTTTTTTAACTAGTCTTACCAGTTCATTGATTTTATTAGTCTTTTGAAATAACTAACTTTTATCCTTGTTGATCTCTGTATTTGTTTCTTAGTACATCAATTTTTAAAAATTTAAATTATTGTTCAATTACAGTCGTCCATATTTTCTCCCCACCCCTCTCACCCACCCCCTCCCTCACTCCCTCCCTTGCTTCCTCCCTCCCCCTTGGTTTTGTCCATGTGTTCTTTATAGTAGTTCCTGAAAACCCTTTCCCCCTCCCCTCTGGCTATTGTTATATTTTTCTTAATTTCATTAGTACATTAGTTTTTTAAAAGATTTCATTTATGTAGTTTTTAGAGAGAGAGGAAGGGAAGGAGAAAGAGAGGGGGAGAAAGAGAGGGAGAGAAACATCAATGTGTGGTTGCCTCTTGTGCACCCCCCACTGGGGACCTGGCCCACAACCCAGGCATGTGCCCTGACTGGGAATCAAACTGGCGACCCTTTGGTTCACTGGCTGGCGTTCAGTCCACTGAGCCACACCAGTCAGGGTCTTAGTTCATTAATTTTTGTTCTTTATTATTTTTACTCATTCACTTATTTGGAGTTTATTTTGGCAATCCTCTTTTTAAATTTTTGAGGTGTATTCTTACCTCAGTTTTGTCTTTTCTAATACATTTTTCTCCAAATATTGCTTTAGCCATTCTATGAGTTTTGATATGTAATTTTTTAAAATTTTCAGTTCTATATAGTTTCTAATTCCCATTTTATTTAGTCTTTTACCTGTGAATTTATAAAACAGTTATTCTTTTTAAAAAGGATTTTATTTATTTTCAGAGCGAGAGGAAGGGAAGGGGAAAGAGAGGAAGAGAAACATTGATGTACGAGAGAAACAGCAATCAGCCACTTTTTGCACTCCTCCAACTGAGGACCTGGCCTGCAACCCAGGCATGTGCCCTGACTGGGAATTGAACCTGTGACCTTTTGGTTCGCAGACTGATATCCAGTCCACTGAACCATACCAGCCAGGGCTAGAATTTCATAATGTTCAAAAACCTTTTTTTTAAAATTATATGTTTGTTATTAAGATTTCTAACTTGATTACACTGTGGTCAAAGAATATTGCCCTTTTGATACTGGTTCTGCATTAGTTATCTACTGCTGCATAACAAATGATCCCAAAATGTAACGGCTTAAAATGGTTATTATCTTAGTGTCTGTGGGTCAGAGAGCTGGGTTCCATTTGGCTGGGGCTGCTGGCTCTGGGTGTCACAGGCTGTGATCAAGGTGTCAGCTGGTAGGATAGTCATCTCCAGGCTCCCCTAGGGGTGGATTCACTCCCAACTGTTTTACCTCCTTATATTGCGTATTCACTTTCCAGGTCATCAGTACACTTTTAAAGGAGTTAACAAATATCGTCTCATGATTTTTAGTTATTGTTAATGGAAAGTACTTATTAAGCCAAACTCTTACAGATGAAAGATGTATTTGTTAAATCACTAAAGACCAGAACTAAAAACCTGCACGCTACAAAGAAATAATTTCCCAAGGGGGAAAATATATTTTAGACAAGGAGCCGTATGAATTGGTGTCCAGTAAGGAAATCAAAAGCCACGCTACACATTTCAACAGAGGGAGTTGCTTACACAGGTGTGGGAGGACTGGGAGGCAAAGGAGAGAGCTGAGGTAAACTGGTGATGGGAAGGGCAGGAAGCAGCTTCCTTGCCTCTGTCTGGGGAAACAAAGGGAGAAGACCGAGGTTTTCGGAATCTAGAAGCTGGGAGGAGAGGTCCTGTGGAGCTGGTGCTCAAATCTCCCAGAGGGATCTGTGTTCCAGTGCTGCTGCTACCTCAGGGGCACCAGCCCCGGAGGCTGGACGGGAGCCCTGGCGGGAGCTCGGGAACCAGCTGCCGTGCCTGGGAGGACACCGGTGAGAGCAGCAGCCACACGGGAAGGAGCAGCCTTTCTCCCTCCTCCCTTCCAGTCACCCTCTAGATCCTTGTGTGCCTGTGCCTAACAGCTGGAAAGAGGAGAAGGTGTTTCCAGAGCCCCAGCCCCAGTGTCAGCAAGCAGACTGTGGAAGAGCAGTATGGGGGGGGAGACAGTCTCTTACTGAAGGACAAGAGGCTGACCCAGTGCCCTGGCGGTCTCAGGGCCTGCCCGACTGGGCTAGCCGGTGCTGCTCCCCAGGGGGCCAGAAGGGCCACGAGGTTGTGACTGACACTGCTGCGGCCAACCGTGACTCCAGAACTTCACGAAGCACCTTTCTGCTTATTCACAGTAACATGAAGTGACAGCTATTTCTCCCTTTCTCTTAGAATATAAAATACTACCAGGGGATCCGGGCTGCTGTGAGCCGGGTGAAGGACAGAGGGCAGAAGGCCTTGGTTCTCGACATTGGCACCGGCACCGGACTCTTGTCAATGATGGCAGTCACAGCAGGTGCTGACTTCTGCTATGCCATCGAGGTAAGTCACAGTCATCAGGTGTGTCCCGCTGCTTGTGTGGGAAGCCTGTTAGGCACCTTGTACTTTTCCTCCCCATTTGTTCACAGACATTCCTGGAGTGCTCCTCAGTCTCAAGCACAGGGCCGGGTTCTGAGGAGCAGGTTCAGTAGAACTGAACTAGATACGATGTCTTCCTCCAGGAGCATCTTTTCTCCTCCGAAAACAGTGGTTCTCGCCCTGGCCGGCATGGCTCAGTAGGTTGACTGTTGTCCCGAAAAGCAAAAGGTCGTCATTTTGATTCCCCGTAGGGGCACGTGCCTGGGCTGCAGGTGTGGTCCTCTGTTGGGCACATACAAGAGGCAACCAACGGATGTTTCTCTCCCTCTCTTTCTCCTTCCCTTTTCTCTCTCTAAAAACAAACAAACAAACAAATAAATAAATAAATTCCTTAAAAAAACAAAAAGAAAAACAAAGCTGATTCTCAGCCTTGGCTGCATGTCAGGATCTCAGCATCAGTGAGGAGCTTTTAAAAATACTGATGCTTGCAGGGGGTGGGGGGAGGCTGAAGGTGGAGGGGGGTATCGGGGGATAAATGGTAATGGAAAAAATACAATAAAAAATGAACTATTAAAAAAATACTGATGCCTAGCTCCCCCTCCAGATTTTGATTTAATTATTCTGAGCTGTGGCCTGGGAGTTGGGAGTCCCGAACACGCACCAAGGTTGAGATGCACTGCTTTAAATGTCCCTACAGAGCCAGCTATCTTACTATGTTTACCAATAGTTTTGCAATCTGCCGTTTCTTTTTCATAATAAAACATTAAACATATCTTTCTGATATGCAAATAATACATATCTTTATAGGAAATTTGTTGAATATAAAATAAAAATAGTGTGTTAATTCAAAGTTAACCATTGCTAAAATTCTGGTGTATGTTCTAAGCTTTTGGGGTAAAACTTGGTTCACATAGTGATTGAGTTGCCAACAACAAAGTCCCGGATTAACAGTGGCTGAACCAAGGTGGAGGTGTTTTACTTTCTCACAGGAAGTTTGGAGGTCAGCACTGCAGGGTGTTCTCCCAGTATTCCTTTCAGATGCCTCTCCCGCCATTTCTACCGCATGGCCCTCATCCTCATGATCACGGTCTAGAAAGGTGGGCGTTTTCAGCTGGGGAATACCGTGGTGTGTTTGGGGACCAAGGTCATCCAGAGTCTCAGCAAAGGGTGTCATGGTAGACAAAGCCATCTGCAGGACCTGAGTGCCAGGGTAAAGAGTATTAACTCTACTATCTTGAGTTAGGCGTTTTTTGTTTTTCAATGTTGTATTTATTTATATTTAGAGAGAAGGGAAGGGATGGAAAAAGAGAGGGCGAGAAACTTCAATGTGCAAGAGATACATCAGTCAGTTGCTTCTCACACGCCTCCAACCAGGGTCCTGGCCTGCAACCCAGGCACCTGCTCTGACCAGGAATCGAGCTGGCGACCTGTCTTGGTTCACAAGCTGGTGCTCAGTCCACTGAGCCACATCAACCAGGGCTCGAGTCAGGTATTCTTAACCTAAGATGAGGATAATGGGCTTCAGGTCTCCATGAAAGAAAGTCCTTCCTGAGAACTGTATGTGTATGTACATGTGCGTGTCTGTGGGACTGGACAGTTGTCTCGGGATTTCATAAGAAGGGTTAAGAGCCACTTCTCTGCCTTTTGGGGAGTTTTCAAGGCTTTTGAGCAGACACAGAGAAATCTGTTTTAGGATGATTGCCTTGATATCTTCAAGTAGATTTTATTCTCATTACCAATGAGGAAACTAAGATGAGAGGATGAAGACTTAATTAGGTCTCACAGTTAACAACCAGGAGAGCTAGAATTGGAGCCCTGTTCTTCGGGGCCCTCATTGTGGAGCTCACTCAGCAGTGATAGCTTTTATGGGAGGGGGTGTGTGTGTGTGTGTGTGTGTGTGTGTGTGTGTGTGAGGGAGGGAGAGAGTGTGAGTTTTCCAACGTGAGCGTCTGAGGGGGCAGCGATGCCCTAAACTAGTAAGAGGAACTTGGAGGAAGATGCATACTTTGTGGGAAGGAATGGCATTTCATGTTGGGTGTGTTAAATATGTATGGACTGCTGATTAGAAATAGAGTGAGAACATGTTTTTTGACAGATTGATTGGACTGTGCTCTTGGGTTTTCCATATTCCTATCTCATTTAACTGAATTTCTAACTCTCCCTTGCTGCTCTAGCCTGTGATTTCTGTGGCAAATGCCTAGAAAACAAAGCGTGGTCCTGGCTTCCTCACTTTTTCCTTTTTAAGAGCAAGAACTTTCCCAGGAATCTCTAGCAAACCTCTCCTTTGGTGTCGTTGGCCAGAATACGGTTAAATCCCATTTAACTTCCCTCATCCCTGGCAAGAAGGGTTCATTTGCCCAAAGACCAGGCAGACACACCACTTGAAAATAGGTTCCAAACTGATTCGAGGGCAGGGGAGGACACAGAATGATGTTGGGAAGCCAGCTGTAGGGTTCATTCCGGGTAGTAATCTGGGTGAGATCTCAAGCTCTTGGTGGCTAAGGAGGTGGAGCTGTCTGTGGTCAGAGCCTGAAGGGTCAGCGGACAAGCTGAATAATATGTTAACCGGTCCGAGGGTGGAGGGTGTGGTATGCACTTGGGATACTTTTGGGGTGGAGGCAAAGTGATTGGTGAGAACGGAGGGTTTGAGGCCCTCAGACTATGTCTAAAAACATCAAGCCACATGCTAGAAATAATTTGAAACAGATTGTGAAGGTAGTTTTTTTCCCCTAGCCGAGCACACAGGTATTGTTTAAAGAAGAATATATAGGATCCAGCAGAAGTAACACCTGCTTGAGTGTGGTTGGTAATATGAGTGTGATAATTTCTAGTTTAAATTTGAACATTTCACCTAAAATGTTATATGGTGTGCTTGAGTGTGATATTATTATGTTGTAGAATTATATGCTTATGATCTTGTAATAAAATATTTTGTATTAAGAATGGGCGTTATTTGTGCTGGACCCTGTACACATACACATACAAGTATACAAGGCAAAAAGCATGGAAGCCGTGCCCTATTCCATGCTGTGAGATGCTGGCCCTTCTGCTTATTCTCAGGTCCCTGGCTTTGAGAACAGAAGTCACAAGGAGCTCGCCTTTGAAGGGGCTGGCATACCATTTCCACCGCCCTGCCCCCACTTGCAGCCTGGGAGCACGGGGAGCTCATTACTTCCTAAGAGCAGATTCCACTGTTGATGTGTGTTCATCACCCACCTCCACAAAATGTGCAGACTCCCAACACCTGTCTACTCCCCAGGACCAGAGAGTACAGGCCAAGGCCGTGATGTGCTGGGGACTGAGGGGACCTTGCAGAGTTGGCCTCCTGGCCCCAGTGACCTGGAGAGACCTTGATCCACAGCAGTGCCTGGACAGAACCTCCATGTAAAGTCTTTCACTCCCGTAACAAAAACTCCAAAAGCAGCAAATCTTCCACAGTTAATACTGCACAGATCCAGGGAAATCTTTTCAGTATTATTAGCTCATGACTAGAAATATTTAAAAGCCTAAGCATTAATGGAGTCATAAAAATAGCCACCTCCCACTTGTGCTGCGCCAGTGCTGTGCTAAGCCCTGTGCGCAGCAGCACCGACCACACCTGTAATTACATGGTTATTTGTATCGCCCGTGCATTTAGTGCCTGATCGCCCCCTCAGGCTCGAAACCCCTCCAAGGAGGGAGTGTGTCTTACTCCACGAGTTCAGTCCCCAGCGGCTGGAACAGAGCACATGGGGGCTGCTTGATAAACATCAGCTGAAAGAAGAAAAGCGTGAACGAAGCCACAATTTAGTGAATCCATACAATAACCTAATGCAGTACATTTCTACCCCCGTTGTGTAGCTGAGGACAGAGACACAGTGATGACAATCCAAGCACTACGTGCCAGGCCCTGAGCGCGGAGCATCACCCAGATCGTCGACTCCTAACACTCCAGTGTTGTTGGGGAGGTCTTGCCTCTACCAGGTCCAGCTTAAATAATGCCCCTTTTTTATCACAAAATCATAAGCATGTAATTCTGTAACAAACAGTATCACACTCAAGCACACCACATGGCATTTTAGGTGAAATGTTCAAATTGCTGTCCATTTCGTGTGAGACATTCATGTACCGCGTGCCAACCACACTAAAGCAGGCGCTACTTCTGCCGGACTCTGTGTGTGTTTGTGTGTGTAAAGAATATAACATTTCTCCCTTGATCGTAGTAAAAAAAATATGTGTTCATGGTGGAAAGTGTGTGAAATTCAGGAAAAGACTTTAAAAAGAGGAAATCTTGTCATTGGGATCAGTCAGTTGCTTCTTGTTACATTTCTACTCCGTGTGTGGCTGCGTGTCTGTCTGTCTGTATGTTTTAGGTCCTAACGTGGTTGGAGCTGTAGAATCTAAACTGAGCAGGCTGGAACGTAGGAGTTGGAGGGGCTTACGTTTAGGGACCTGTGAAGGGTTCAGGGAAGACTGTTGGAGATGGTTTTTTGTGCTACCCTGGAAAGCTGGGGTTGCTTTGGCAGGTGGGGCTAGGGCAGGGAAGACTCAGGTTTGCCTGGGAATAGTGAGTGTGGCTGGGAGTATCAGTTGTGGCGGGAATGGGCTTTAGGGGAAGGGAGGGGGGAAAGCAAGGTGATTCGTATTATGGAGGACCTTGAGTACCATAAGAAGATACAGGTGGTGTCCTGCCAGCATTGGATTTGGAACAGTTTTGCTCACACTTAGATCTGACACAGTAATAGCCTCTCTTTCATCTAGAGAGCACTGGACACATCTTGTCCCAGGTCACAGATCTTGGTTTTCTGAGGCAGGTCCTCTTCCTGGCTCTCTCTAGTGTGGCACTGACACCTGCTGTCCTTTCTAGGTAGTGCAGCCACCTTGGAATTCCTGTACCCCACCTCCCCCTTCTGGGGTCTCCTAGCTGCCCATTAAACCCAGCGGAATCTCATTCCTTTGTATTCATTTTCATGACACATATTTGGAGAATAAAGTATTAAAGTTACACTGATGAACTTCTGTTTATTTAAACTAAATCAGCCCAAAGAAATATTTTGCCTGTATCTCGAGCGGTGACAAAGGTACATTGTGTATATTCAGGGAATTCTGTAGTGCAGACCTCTTTTACTTCACATCTTAGGACTAGGATACAGGAACAGCTTGTTAATCTTGGGTGTTAGGATTTTATTAAAGTGATTGCTAATTTTTCTTGGGTTTTGGCTCTAATTTCTAGGTTTTCAAGCCTATGGCTGATGCTGCTGTGAAGATTGTGGAGAAAAATGGCTTCAGTGATAAGATCAAGGTTATCAACAAGCATTCTACGGAGGTGACTGTGGGGCCAGGTGAGATCAGCACGTGCTCTGTTGAAAGCTTTACTTGCTTTCATAAGAGAGAGGAAAAGGCTTATTCAAGTTACCTGGAATAAGTGTGCCCAAGTCATTGCAGAGATACGTGGCCTCTTCATGTGTCTGAGGATGAGCACTGTGTCTCTCTGCTGGTTTATTTCTTTACTAGCTACAGCAGGTCAGGGAATGAGTAGAGCGGAGCGAATCGAGAGCAATAGCTGTGATGCAAAACCTCCTTTTGCTTTAAGCAAGCTGGAGTTCTTGTGTGGCTCTCAGCTCTCATGAGTTTAAAGTCTTATCAGATAGTGAAACTAAGTAGAAGCTGAAACAGTTTTGCTTAGTTCTGACATCCTGCTTCAGCATCTAACGTGAGATGTTTCCCTGTATAGCACAATTTCTCCACATTCCCAAGGATACTTTTAGAGTCTAGGAGTTTGAAGTGGACTAAAAATTTCACATGCTGCTGATACCTGGAGAGCACAATGGGAAGATTTGTAAAAGAAGCTCCTAGAGTGAGGTTATGGGTATCACTCCAGTTTTTAAAAATGCAGTATTTTACTATGAGGCATCTACCTCAGGTCAATATTTTTCTCCCATTAAAAAATAATTTTTGGGGGGGTAGGCAGGGCAGGGGGCAGTAATGGGGGAAAAGCGTGGACAACTGTAATTGAACAACAATAAAAAATAAAAATACATAATTTTAAAATATATTTTACTGATTATGCTATTACAGTTGTCCCATTTTGTTCTCTTCTTTATTCCCCTCTGCCTTGAACCCCCCACCCCCACCCACCAGCATTCCCTCACCTTAGTTCATGTCCATGGGTCATACATAAAAATGCTTTGGCTTCTCCACTTCTCATACTATTCTTAACCTCCCCCTGTCTATTTTGTACCTACCATTTATGCTTCTTATTCCCTGTACATTTTCCCCCTTTCTCCTCCTCCCTGCTGATAACCCTCCATGTGATCTCCATTTCTGTGATTCTGTTCCTGTTCTAGTTGTTTGCTTAGTTTGTTTTTGTTTTTAAGTTCAATTGTTGATAGTTGTAAGTTTCTTATCATTTTACTGTTCATATTTTTGATCATCTTCTTTTTCTTAGATAAGTCTCTTTCACATTTCCTATTAGGGCTTGGAGATAATGAACTCCTTTAACTTGACCTTATTTGGGGAGTACTTTATCTGCCCTTCCATTCTAAATGATAGCTTTGCTGGATAGGGTAATCTTGGATGTAGGTCCTTGCCTTTCATGACTTGGAACACTTCTTTCCAGGGGTCTCCTTGCCTATAAGGTTTCTTGTGAGAAATAAGCTGGTAGTCTTTTTTTTTTTTAAGATTTTATTTATTGCCCTGGCTGGCATAGCTCAGTGGATTGAGCGCGGGCTGCGAACCAGGCATCACAGGTTCGATTCCCAGTCAGGGAACATGCCTAGGTTGCAGGCCATGGCCCCCAGCAATCGCACATTGATGTTTCTCTCTCTCTCTCTTTCTCTCTCCCTTCCCTCTCTAAAAATAAATAAATAAAATCTTTAAGAAAAAGATTTTATTTATTTATTTTTAGACAGTGGGAAGGGAGGGAGAAAGAGAGGGAGAGAAATATCAGTATGTGGTTGCCTCTCACGCAACCCCTCTGGCCTAAAACCCAGGCATGTGCTCTGACTGGAAATCGAACCGGCAACCCTTTGTTTTGCAGGCCAGTGCTCAATCCACTGAACCACACCAGCCAGGGCCCTTTTATTTATTTTTAAAACATGATATACATACAAAAGAATGCATAAATCATTACTCCATTTTTAATCAACATTATTGAGATATAATTTACATAAAGTGAATCTACTCATTTTAAGTATGCAGTTTGATGAATTTTGACCATTTTAGGCACACTTGTAATCACTTTGACTACCACCACAATCAAGATAATAGATTTTCTCCATCATGCCTGAAGAGATTCTTCAATATCCCTTACATCAATCTCTCCCACTGCCCCGGCCCTAGGCATGTACTGGTCTACTTTCTTCAACATAGATGAGATCTGCCTTTTCTAGAATTTTGAGTATGTGGAATCATACAGTGTGTATTCTTTGTGTCTGCTTTTTCTGTTGCGCATTGCTCTTGAGATTTCGACCGTGTTGTTCTGTATATCAGGAGTTCATTCTTACCTTGACTGGTATGGTTGAGTGTCATCCTGCAAAATGAAAAGTCATTGGTTCGATTCCCAGTCAGGGCTCATGCCTGGGTTGCAGGCCGGGTTGCCAGTTGGGGGTGTGCGAGAGGCAACCAATCAATGTTTTTCTCACACATCCATATTTCTCTCCCTGTCTTTCTCCCTCTCTTCTCCTCTCTCTTAACAATAAATAAATAAATTTTTTTTTAAAAAAGAGTTCTTTTAATCTCTTCTATTGCTAAACATCACTTCATGTGTGGACATACCATAATTTGTCTAACTGTTCAGTTGCTGATGGACAAGGATAGTTTCCTGGATAGGTCTTTAGGTTTACTGATCTGTTCTTGTGTGGTGTCCAGTCTGCTGTTAAGCATATCTAGTTAACTTTTCATTTCTGGTATTGTATTTTTTATCTCTAGAATGATCTTTTGTAACTTTAATTTTTCTCCTTATGTTCCTGTGTTCCTTTAAATACTTATTTATATAGCTGTTTTAACATCCTTATCTTCTTTTTCCATTATCTCTGTCATTTAGGGGTTCTGTTATCCTAGTTTTGGGTTGCATTTTCCTTCTTGGCATGCCTGGGAATTTTTTTATTTGGATGCTGTGTATAGTGGGAATTTTGCATTGCTAAGTGCTGGATTTTGTTGCCTTCCTTTAAAAGCTTCATCTGGTGTGCAGTTGGGTTACTTGCAGATTAATTTGATCCTTTCAAGGCTTGTTTTTAAATTTTGTTGAAGCAAGCTTAGAGCAACTTTAAGTCATGGTTTCTTGACAGCAGCACTGGACATTTTGGGCCTGATAATTCTTTGTTGGGGGGGTGGGGGGGTGGGAAGAGCTATTCTGGGCATCGTAGGGTGTTTATCCCTGGCTTCTAACCAGTAGAAGTCAGTAGTGCCTCCCTCCCCATTTGTGCCAACCCAGAATATGAGTGCAGATACTGCCAAATGTCCCAGGGTGAAGGGTGGAGACAAAATTGCCTTAGCTTAGGAGCCTCAGCTCCTAAGCCGTACTAGTGAGGCATGACCTTTCCAGGGTCTCTGCTGAGTGCCTGTGTGTGGCTCACCAGAACTGGTCTGCTACCCAGTCCTCTGTGAGCTCTGGAAATTGTTCACTGTAGAGCCACGCGGTTATCTTTACCCAGCCTTCTAGAGTCTTACCCTGTGTGTGTGAATGTTTTTAAGAAGAGACCTGAGGGGAGCCCTGTGTAACCTCCTCTCTGGTTCTCTGCCCTGAAAGTCCCAGCCGCCTCCACTTTCCTCATCTCCGATTGCTGTCTGCCTAACTCCGCGAGACCACGGTGCCCTGCCTGCTTTCTCACCGCGGGCTGTGGTCTGAAAGTGCCTGGGGGCTGAAAGCAAGAGCAGCAGCTGGGGTCACTTCGTTTGTTTCCCTTCTTGGGGAACAAACTGTGTTGCCTTTTCTTCTACATCTGAAAACATTTGTTTCATATATTTTGTCTGGTTTTCTTGTTGACCGCAGTAGATGGATGTCTGATCCTAGTTACTCCATTTTGGCCAGAGGTGGAAATCGTTTATTTTTTAAAGCTTGTTTGTTTGGACAGCTCAGAGACTGACCTGCAGAGCAGCTTTAGCCGTGTCACTCTCTTTGCGACTCTGCCGTCTTCCAGGCTGTGTGTTGTTCACACATACCCTGCGTTAGGCCACACCCCTCAATGCTTTCCTAGTAGTTTTTCTTCGTAATGCTAGTGACTGCAACAAGGAAATCATTATGTAATTATATGTATCCCCACCCAGCTGAGCATCCTGAGGTCATGGACTGTGTGGTCTTGTTAATCATTCCATTTCAAAACTGGCATATACCTGGCATGAGAGGATTCAGTAATGTTTGTTTAGTGAGTAAATTGTCAGCCTTGCTTGATCTTTAATCCCTCGTAAAGGGGACTTTGTTTCCACTTCCTCAACTTGACAGGTGGCTTTCTTATCGCCAAGGCTGATGGTCTTCCCTCGCTTTCCCTCTCAAACACTGCAGCTTTGGTACTTCTGCCATGTGGTCTTTCTGGTGATTCCCTTCCCAGGCCTCCTTTGCAGCTTCGGTTCTCTTGGCAGCTTTCTTCCTCCCCCAAATGCATGCTTCCAAGGTTCTGTTTTCAGCACTTTCAAAAAATAACATCTAAGTTTCTTGCCTGTTTCCCAGAGGTGGATGGATCGCACACGGAGGCATGTGTAGCAACGGACTCGGGGGCATTTGTTCCCCCTTGCAGTCACTGGGTGAGACTCTCGAGGCGCCTGGAGTGGCACCCCTGCGCAGGTGGTCGCTGCGCCCTCTGCACCCTTCCACATCAGCACTCGCGTGCCGGGTGCCAGGCTCTCAAGAGTATTTCTTGAAATTCATTGGATCATGGAGCTCTCTTTATTTGAGGCATATTTGGACAATAAATCATTTTTAATTACACAATTAGCTTAAAAATTATTCAGGAGTTAGCATTAGCAGGGCTTGGTGATTGATTGGATGTAGGGTGACAGGGGGAATGCAGAATTCATCTAATGTTTGCTGACTCTTGCTGGGTGCTAGGCACTGTTCTAGGCACTAGGGTACAGTGGTGAACAGACCGATCAGGGTCCCTACTCTCCTGGAGCTGGAAAACGAGGCCCAGGTTTCTGGACTGAGTGCCATTCACTGAGGCAGAAACATCAGAGGGAGAAGCAGGTGCCTGGGGGTGGGGTGGTTGGCTCCGTCTGGGACAGTGTGTTTCAGTTGGAGTTTGGCCTGGTCTCAGAGAGGATGGGCAGGGCCGTTTGGGAGGGTGATGTCTGTGCCAGGGGACAGAAGTCTCTTCTTAGCCTCCTTTCCCATCATACTGTCATTGAGCACAAACATACTTCATAGGAAGTGGACAGTTTTGACTTTTGCTAGCCTAACCTCGGCTGCGTGGGGCAGATCTCGTTGCCCCCATTGAACAGATGAGGTGACTGATGGTCAGGACTCAGGGCTGGAGGCTAGAGATCAGACTGAAAGCCCAGGTCTCCATGACTCAAGGCTCAGGCTCTGCTGCACCCCCATTGGTCCCCCTCAGTGCTTCTCTTGTCTTGCACCATCCATGAGACGTGTCTTCCCCATAGGGAAGGTGAGTGGGCTCTGTCCATTGTAATTCATGAGCTATTGCGGGTGTTTGGTGGATTCTCCATGATGAATGGCCCCTTACAAAGTCTGGCTCATTAGAAATTATAATTGTGCAAGTAACATTACATCACATTACATTATAGAGGTTTAGAAAATGGAGTTAATAAGAAGATCCACCATAGCCCTACTCCCCCAGACAACTGTTACTTGGGGAATTGTTTGGCAGCGAGAAATGAACTTGATTCAGGTGGATTTAGTGTTAGGGACTGGCGATTGTGAACCCTGGGTGTCAGTGGAATCAATTAGCCTTTCCTTTTTGCTGTGGTTTTCTCTCCCTCTCTGTAGCCTAGAAATATTTGAAATACCAGCGTTCAGTTTTTACTTTAATTTTTGCTAACTTAATAATTAATAGTTAATTGTTAATTTGTGTACAGAAAAGTTGAAAAAGTAGTGGTGTAATGAACCCCCGTATTCTCTTAACCAAGATTTACCAGCTGTCAGCATTTTGAGATACGTGTATGTGTATGAATTGTTTTGCTAAACCATTGGAAAATCAGTTGACAAAGGACACTTCTAAATCCTTCAGCATTTGTATGTGCTTTCAATTTAATAACTTATTAATCTTTTATCTTATATCTGTTTGCTGTTAATATTTTTTCTAGTCTGTTGCTTGCTTCTGACTCTGTTTCCTTGTGTTTGACAGACGGTGACATGCCGTGCCGTGCCAACATCCTGGTCACGGAGCTGTTCGACACGGAGCTGATTGGGGAGGGAGCGCTGCCCTCCTATGAGCATGCACACCGGCATCTCATGCAGGTGAGGGCCTGAGGGCCTCCCTCGGGCGGACTGCTGGGTCTCAGCCAGCTTACCCAGCCAGCTCTCGCTGATACACTGTGCTCTTCACAGCCTGAGCCCTCAGTACCTACGCCCTCAGATACCCCTCGATTCCTGCAGGATTCTGGTTCTCCTCAGTTTGACTTTTGTGCCTCTAGAATGTCAACCTTGGTAGGTTAAAGTCAAAAGGCCAGAACCTGTTTTCAAATTCAGTTCAGTTCAGCAAACATTCTTTGAGTGTCACCTGTGTATAATGTGTTCTAGCGTCCAAGGAAAACTAACTATAAAGTGTCCTTATTGCTCTAACCCACACCAGTCAGGGGTGGTGAGGACGGGATGGGCTGAGTGGAGAGGCAGACAGAACACCACAGATGAGTGATTTAGGGCTGATGGAAGGGGTTAGGGAGGCACATGGGAAAAGGCACTGAGGAGAGAGAGAGATGACCCACGTAGAGGGACCTGTTTGGTAGCTAAGGGCAGAGAATGGAGGAGAGGGTAGAAGGCCCTGAAGGCCAGGGCATTCCAGGTGTAGGAGTTTGCATAGTGGCAGTCTTGGACAGTTTCTTTGAAAAGAGAGAGGCCCTGCCCAGGTGGCAGTCCTATATACCAAAAGGTTGCAGGTTTGATTCCTGGTTGGGGCACATAAGGGAGGCAACCAATCCATGTTTCCTCTTCTCTCTTTTCCTTCCTCCCTCTCTCTAAAAATCTATAAAACTGTCTTTGGGTGAGGATTTAAAAAAAAAAATAAAGAAAAGAGAGAGGCATTGAAGGTATTATCTTGGAGATATTGGTCTTGCTTTTATATGGACATAAAGTGGAAGTAGAGACCCAGAGGCAAAGGCCAGCCAAGGAGATGTGTCTGCTTCTTCTGCTGGCACCTGCTCTGTGGGCACTGCAACTGCCCCGGTCAGGAACCCTCTTTGGGGGTGCTGGGTGCCCAGAGTGAGGAGGGGGCTCCTTCCAGGGCAGTCAGGACCAGAGTCCACATTACTCACGCGGTCAGTGTGTGAGTGTTCTGCAGACCCCCACACTCTGGGAGGTGTCGTGTCATTTCCACCAAGTAAAACCCTTTTCTAGTAACTTCAGTAACAGCAATTTCTATTTCTCCATGTTGAAACCACCAGCTAGATATATCCCTGATGCAGAAAGAAAACAAGGATATTTAGAATTTATGTTAATGTTGCCCAATTTTCTCTCTTCAATTCATTATTTAAAAGGTAGGCAGACAGCCCTGGCCTGTGTGGCTTAGTTGGTTGAGTGTCATCCCACAAAGTGAAAGGTCACCAGTTCGATTCCCTGTCGGAACCCATGCCTGGGTTGCAGGCCGGGTCCCTGGTTGGGGGCATGCGAAAGGCAACCAATCGATATTCTCCTCTCCCTCTCTTTCTTCTTTCCCTTCCCCTCTCTCTAAAAATAAGTAAAAAAATCTTTAAGAAAATAAAAAGGCAGGCAGACAGCTGTCCTCAGTTTCCTGCCCCAGCTGGCCGGTAGCAGCCCGGTGTGCATCGTCCACTCTCATCGCTGTCCCCGTCTGCCCGCCCGTGTCTGAGCTCAAAGGCGTTCGGGCTGGCACACAAAAACTTCCATTGTCCTGACCCCCTCACTGTCTTATTGGAGGTCATGAAACTGCGATGCTGGCATGTCTGATAGGTAGTCCACGTGGTATTGACCCAAGGATTGATCTTAGAGGACACATTTATTAAGCACTTTTATTTTGCCAGGCACTCTTTTGGGTACCAAGAATACGAAGGTGAGCTTCTGGGGAGGCAGGTAGGTGAGCAGGTCATCACAGTACAGTTTGAGTTACACACTGATGCTGGTCAGTGGGGTGAGATCCTGCCCACTCTGCTGGGGGGAAGGTGAGGGGTCAAGGAAGATGGAGCTCAAGTTGAGTCAGTCTTGAAGAGTGGTCGGGTGGTAGGCTGGCAGGTGCGGGGGGTATTTACAGCAGAGGAGATCAGCACGCACAAAGACACGAGGTGGATTGCTGCGGTGGCTCCCAGATCCTGCAAGTAGTTTGGAGGACGGGTAGTGCCGGAGGTGGGGCTAGGGATGTGGCCGGATTGCTGGGCAGGGCTAGACCGAGAAGGGCTGCCGTGCTCCAGAAGGCAGCGTGGCAGCACGGAAGGGTTCTGAGCAGGGGGTTGATCTGTGCAGGCAGGCCTGAAGAAAGCAGCTGGGGGGCAAGACTGGAGGCAGAAAGGTGGTAGGAGACATTCAAGAGCTGGACTGAGGAGGGCCTCAGGTAAGGCCGCAGAAATGGGCCTGGGGAGGTAGACTCAGGGAGGAGAGAGGTGGCCACGGTAGATGGGGGGCACTGAGGAGGATGCCAGGGCGTAGGGCTTGGGCGACGGGATTGGATGGTGGTGCTCCTTGTCGACTGGGAGCGCCAGGCCTGGGAAGGTGAGAAACGGGTGAAGTTGGATTTGTCCAGTTTTTTTTTTTTTTTTTCGGTTTGTTTATTTTTTTAAGATTGTATTACTCCGGCTGGTATAGCTCAGAGGATTGAGTATTGGCCTTCGAACCAAAGGGTTGCTGGTTCGATTCCCAGTTGGGGGACATGCCAGGGTTATGGCCCAGGTCCCCAGTAGAGGGTGTGTGAGAGGCAATCACACATCGATGTTTCTCTCCCTCTCTTTCTCCTTCCCTTCCTCTCTTTCTAAAAATAAATAAAATATTTTTTAAAGATTATTTATTTTTAGGGAGAGAGAAAGGGAGGAAGATAAACATCAATGTGTGAGGGAAACATTGATTGGTTGCCTCTCACACACCCCGAGCTGGGGACCTGGCCTGCAGCCCAGGCATGTGCCCTGACAGGGAATCGAACAGGCAACCTTTCAGTCCATAGATTGGTGCTCAGTCCACTGAGCCACACCAGCCAGGGCAGACTTGTCCAGTTTAGACAGAGTTTGAGTTGTCTGAGGGTCAGCCAGGGAGGAAGGGCCAAGAGGCCTTTGGATACATGGTATTTGGTAAATGAAGACAGAGTGATCGGGGTTCTTTCATGTGGAGGGAGAAAGAAGGCAGTCTAGACCACGTCTCCGGGGAGTCCCCTCTGGGAGGGATGGGCAGCGGGCACGAGAGTCCAGCTAGAGCAGTGCTTCTCATCCAGAGAAACGTGTGGAGACATTTTTAGTGTCATAACGGGTGGGGGAGGTGCTACTGTTATCTGGTGGGTAGAGGCCAGGGATATTGCTAAACATCCTGCCATCCCTGCAAGGAAGGGTCTTCTGGAACAAGAGCTCACTAGCGCTGAGGTTGTCATTGCCGTGTGAGAGCAGCTGTGCGTGTCCTCCTCCCAGGCGGGCCCTCAGTGCCCGGTGTGCGGTGGGTGTGGGTGAAAGAATGAGGTGGAGTGGTTGGCAATGCCTGGTGAGGCCAGGGGTTCAGGTTAGCTGAGGGTGGGCACTTGTCCGTTGGGCTGTGATAAGAAGGTTACACTGAAGGGAAACTTTGAGCCCAGTGCCAGAATTAGGGCTTAGCAGGAAGAATTGGACTCTTTCTTCAAAATCTGTGTGGGAGTTAATTAGCATAATGACAATTAAGGTTTATTTTTGAAGTTTTTAAGAGTGTCACGTAGCTGGGAACTTATTTGACATAAATCATTCTAGGCATAACATGTAATCCTTTTTCAAATCTTTTTTTCTTTCCCAAGGATATTGGGCCAAAAATAGTTGACTATGCTAATGGCAGTAAGGTATTAGATACTTCTAAACTAGCCTGATATTAAGGAATAACCCTCGTTTTTAAAGAAAGGTTTTATTTATTTATTTTTAGAGTGAGAGGAAGGGAAGGAGAAAGGGAGAAAAACATTAAATGTGTGGTTGCCTCTTGTGCACCCCCACTGGGGACCTGGCCCACAACCCAGGCATCTGCCCCCACCAGGAATCAAACCAGCAACCCTTTGGTTCATAGGCCAGCATGCCATCCACTGAGCCACACCAGCCAGGGCAGGAATAACCCTCTTTTGTTCAGGTGGAATTATTGTGAGTCAAAGTGCCTGGGTGGTTTGTTTGTTTATTTCTTTCTTTCTAATATAAACTCAGGGAAGTTGCGAGGCGGTGCCTCACAGGGCAACTGTCTACGCACAGCTGGTGGAGTCCAGCAGGATGTGGTCCTGGAACAAGCTCTTTCCCGTCCGCGTTCAGACCAGCCTTGGAGAGCGGGTCATCGTCCCCCCGTCGGAGTTGGACAAGTGCCCCGGTGCGCCCTCTGTCTATGACATTCAGCTGAACCAGGTGCCGCCCTCTGACTTCACTGTCCTTAGCGACGTGCTGCCTATGTTCAGGTACCAAGGAGCAACCTGGGTGATGGTGCTTTGAGAAATTTGGTGGAATTGGGGTCCTTTGGAAGTTCTTTTCAACTGGAAAGGAACCCTACTAATGTCACCTGCCTCTGAAGGCAGGAGTCTGTTGCAAACAAGTCTCATTGCTGGGGAGATCACCATAAAAGCTTAAAAATGGAGTGTGTGAGCTTAAAATATGCTTAAGTGAGGGGGGCTCTGCCCACAGGGCCCCCCGGCCACCAGGGGTGATAATAAGTCTACCAAGACATGATCTGCTTGAGGAGGAAAGGTGACCTATTTCTCAAAGGAGAAAGGCCAAGAGCCTTTTCCTCAGTGGGCTTTAATTAGGTTCATTTTGCACAGGAATACAGGTAAAGCTCATGAATCATTATCAGGCAGTAAGGATCCAACAATAGATAACATACAAAGAACTCTGAGGGCCTGTTTTGAGTCAGGGTCAGATAGCTAAAGAGCCATAAAACTTTGAGGAACAAACTTCTTGCTTGGACCCTTATCATTTAATTGAGAGCATTCTAAACAAAGCAGGTTCCACAGGATTTTATATATCCTTTCTTAGGCCTATCTCCTGGGGAACCCACCCTTTCCAACACAGGGCTGCACCGCCCTCTGTCATTGTTTTAGGTTTAAGGCATTGTTTCAGGCTTAAGTCATGCAGGGGAAGTGAGGCAGCCAAGAGATTAGGAGACTTCTGGAACACAGAATGTGGACTCAGGCTATGTCAAAGCCAAGGGGCGAGGGTCCATAACCCCTTTTCTATAGCCCCCAAGTCCTTCCCTGGGGGCCCTCATGATCTTGCCTGTCTTAGGCCGTTCCCCCCTTGGGGAATCTTACCCATCATTGGCTAACCGATCAAGCATTGGGGTCCAGGCAGAATGAAGAAAAAGGAGCAGAAGCAGCGCCCCTGCCAGGGAGATAAGCTTTGTCTCCTTAGTGGCTTACGGTCTGAAGGTCACTCACTCAGCCTTAGCCATGGGCGGGGGTGGGGGGGGGTTATAGCTTCTGAAACCAGGCAGGGCAGTTCCCAACACTTAAGTTCCTGAATATTCTTCCACAGTGTGGATTTCAGCAAGCAAGTCAGTAGCTCGGCAGCCTGCCATAGCAGGCAGTTTGAACCCCTGGCATCTGGCCAAGCTCAGGTGGTTCTTTCCTGGTGGGACATTGAAATGGACCCTGAGGGGAAGATCAAGTGCACCATGGCCCCGTTCTGGGCACACTCACACCCACAGGAGCTCCAGGTAAGAGGCAGGAGCTGAGCATGTTTTCATGGAAATCAGGAAACTTGTTCCCTTTTTGTTGTGGGAAACTAGCATGTTGACCTTTAGATTCACAAGAATTTAAAGAGGGACTGTGTCAGAATCAAAGGAGATAATGTTTTGTTTGTTTAGTTTAGTTTAAAAAGCAAGGCTAGCTATAGTAAGATAGAAGATAGACATCTCAGGCCAAGTTCATGGTCAGCACCAGTGGACACCATAAACTGTAGGGAAGCTTAAGTGTGTTAGCTTTTCATCAGATCAGCTGGGAATAGAGAACTACAGCCTGTCTACAACCTCATTTGTGTGAGCTCAAAATTTACCTTTCCCAGATCAGTTGAAAGTGGACGGAGGACATAAACTACAGAAAAGGAAATATGGAGTACTCCGTAACATGCAAAAAGTCATTCAACTTCACTTATAAGAGCAGTGAAGATTTAAACTGCGGTGAGATGCCATTTTTCACCTACCAGTACATAAAATTCAAAAAGTCAGGGAGCGCACTGTTGGCAGAGCTGTGGGGAAGAGCAGGAAGTGATCCTCAGAGCATCCTCGGCTCTCGGCAAGGCCAGTTCATCACGATGGGAAATGATGCCACTTCTAGACGTTTAGGCTCTGTATAGATTTGTATATGTGCAGATTGACATGTGCCAGGATATTCACTACAGCCATGATTTAGTAGAAAAGACTGGAGCACCCTAGAGGGCACCAGTAGGGCACTGGCTAAGTCCATAACCCTACATTCAGTGAATGAGGCAGCTCTGTATGAACTGATGTGGAACAATCTCCAGGACGTATCATTAGGTGAAGCAAAAATAGCAGTACAGAACAGTATGTGGTATGCCAACACTGGTCTTATTAAAAATAAGAATATATGTAGATGAGTGCGTATGTGTGGTATGTGTGTATAGGGTATCTTTGGAAGGATTCATAGAAATTGGTAAAAATGGTTGCTTCTGGGAAGCTGGCTGAAGGTGAGGGGTAGAAAGAAGACTTTTTCACTCCATGACACTTATTTAATTTATTTTTTAAAATTTATTGATTTTAGAGAGAGGGAGTTGCAGGGGGAGGGAAGAGAGAAACATCGATTTGTTCCACTTATGTATTCATTGGATAATTCTTGTGGGTACCCTGACCGGGGATCAAACCCGCAACCCAGTCATACTGAGTTGATGCTCCAACGAACTGAGCTGCCCCGCCAGGGCTCATCCATGGCTCTTTTGTCTTTTGAATTTTCTCTCATGTGTATGTGTTATTGACCCCTCTACATATACACTCAGGGGAGGTGCTTCAGGGCTGAGAAATCAAAGCTTCCCTCTCTTCCTGGGCACCTTCCTCTGGGTCCTGTCCTCCTGTTACCACTAGCTGGGCACAGGCTTTGTTTTGATTGGTTCCAGGTGTACACAGGTGACTGAGGGAAGGCCCTAGCAGTTCCCTCACCTCCTGAGATACTGCTTCTGCCAAAGGGCTGTGACTGCTGCAGGATTGTGGTTGGTTCCCCTGGGCGTGTGAGCATCCCCATCTCCAGTCTCCCGGCCCAGGCAGGCAGGCAGGCGTGTCTCCAGGCCGCAGGCTGAACTTCCCTTTTCCACAGCCTCCGTCCTCTGCAGGCTGAGTGTGTGTGTATGAGTGAGTGAGAATTCTTCCACAGAGTTGAGATTGTTCCTCTCCAGGAGTGCGATGGTTATAAAATTAGCGTAAGAATATCAAAAAATGTTAATACTTTCCATTTGCCTACCTTCGGAGTGCCACTATGTATATTTTCTTCTCCAATCCTCATGTAAGACATGCTGAGTAACCACATAATGTCCGGACAGAAACTCAGCCTGACCCAGTGCTTGGAGCAGGGCCTCGTGTCTGGGCAGCGGTGGTGGGTGCTCGTCCCCAGGTCTCCCGACTGTGGGGCTTGTGTCCTTCCTCCACCAGCAGTGACTTTTGGACTATTAGGATTCAAAGAGCTGCTACTGACTCTCCCTCCTGACTTCACTAAACGGCTCTTGATCTGAAATCCGTTCAGTCTGCCTTCCTGTAGACAGTGGTTCTGTCAGCGGCTCTTGAGCACTGAGACCTGGAAGGCGGGTGTGTGGGAAGGACCTGGTGGCAGGGAGGCACCACGGGGGCAGGCAGGGGTTAGGGGGAGGCTTCTTGTGTCTTAGGCTTAATTTGCATAGTAGGGAAAGAATAACAGCTTTCGAGAACCTATTTTTTTCCTTCTGTTACTGTTTATTTTTTCCAGGAAATATCTGGTTAGATTTTCATTTTTTAGCTTTTATGTGCAAATAGACATCTTAAATTCAAGGAATGTCATTCACCTGCCTTTTTGCTAAATTCGGGAGTCGGTAGGGTAGGATGGGATCCTGATAGAGTGAGCAGATAGTGTCTCATTGGAGTTGAGCCAGGCATCCGCTGTTGAGGACAGTTGGTTCTTTTTTTAAAAGAGGCTTAAAGATTTTAAGTGTAATATTACAAACCTCATTATATAAGACAAAAATGAATCAAGTCCCTTGAGGGTCTACCACCCCAAAGAACTCCCTTACTTGGCTCTCTTTCCACACGCGTAGGTTTTTGTCAGACTAGTTTTTGTTTGTTTTCCTGCTGCACCATAGTCTTCAGATCCATCCTTTTAAATGTCTGTGCATATTCTGTGTAAGGAGTTTTTATGCATTTCTGAGCTGCTGGATATTTGGTTTGGCCCCAGATTTTGCTAGTATAAATAATTCTGTAATGTGCATTTTTATGTGAATGTAGCTTTTTTCTTTTCCGTTTGTATTTTAAGAATAGAATCCTGTACGTGGGGTTTGTAGTATCAAAAGGGATGAACACAGCTTATTAAAAGGTTGACTCTCGATCAGGGGTGTCAAACTGATTTTCACCAGGGGCCACATCAACGGTTGCCTTCAAGGGGCCGAAATAATTGTAGGACTGTGTAAATGTAACTACTGCTTAGTTGTTAAGGAGCTGAAATTACATTCGGCCCTTTGAAGGCAACTGTGAGGCTGATGTGGCCCCCGGTGAAAAGGAGTTTGACACCCCTGGTCTAGATCATTGTAAATCATGTTTCACAATTTAGTTTTCACTTCTTTAAAAACTAAGTCAAAAGAATAAAACAAAACCTTCCTGTGCTGTTTTCCCAGCTTACCATTTTGAAGCATTTTAAATCCACAGAATAAGTGAACATGAACACTGATGTGCTCATCACTTAAATTTACCAACTGTTAACATTTGTCACATTTGTTTTCTCTGTGTTCCTTCCTCTCTCCATCTTTCTACCCCACCCCCACACCCCACACATGGGAGGGCCTGGAGTCCCCTCCCTGAGCCCTTCTAAAGACCCCTGCCCTTAGCCGCATTTTATCCCCCTAAAGCCAGCAGTGGTCCAGCAGGCTTTCTGGCCACTAGCCTCTCTGACTTGAGGATTTTCCTTATCCCTCTGGCCACGGTAGCTGTCTGCAGTCCACACTGTGGTCTCCTGCAAACTGTTTTTTAGCTTGGGTTTTAGCTCTTGGATTAGAAGCGCTGTTCCTGTTGCAGCGTAGCGACTGCTGGTTCTGTTTCCCCTTTCAGTGGCGGGACCACTGGATGCAGTGTGTGTACTTCCTGCCGCAAGAGGAGCCCGTGGTCCAGGGCTCGGCCCTCTGCCTGGTAGCCCACCATGACGACTACTGTGTGTGGTACAGCCTCGAGAGGACCAGGTATGCCTGGAGCCTCGTGGGGGCGGCACGGGGCCTGTGATACTGCGCATGTATGTAAATTTCCCATTTATAGACATTTGTGTGGCTATAGTGGGGAATTATAGAGGCACGAGAGGGCACATTCATGTCTGAACAGAATAAGAGCAAAAGTGTGACTGGACGCGTCAGCGCCCATTGCATGTGCTCAGAAGAGGCTGTCCCACGGTGGGGCCCCATCTGGAGCAGACATACTGAGCGTATCGAATTGAGGGCCCTCGAGCCAATGCCTAGACTCACGCCCTGGAGAAGACTGTGGGTGTGTCCCCCAAGGCCCATTTCCATTTCATTGGGCAGGTCCCCGTGCCCTGTTTTCATGCTCACTGCTCACCACTCTGTCTTTTCATTTCCTGGCCCAGTCCTGAAAAGAATGGCAGAGTCTACCCAGCGCGCCCCGTGTGTGACTGCCAGGCGCACCTGCTCTGGAACCGGCCTCGGTTTGGAGAAATCAACGATCAGGACAGAACGGATCAATATGTGCAGGCCCTAAAGACGGTATGTGTCACAGCCCCTTGGGAGCGTGTGGGCAAGAAGGAGATTGTCCGTGGGCCACAGCTCATTGCTCACTTAGGATTTGCTGCTTTTGTTTTCTGTGCTCCCTGGTCTGCCTCAGTGACTGCAGCCCACTGGGCAGGCTTGCAGGACGGCCTGGGAGCCTCTTACTGGGCCCCCTGGGGGCTTGTTCTCTGCTCCGGCGAGAACCTTCAGCTGACTTTGTCCCTTGCCTTTGTTCCTCTGGACACTTTGCCTTTGTGATCCCCAGCGGTTCCTGTGGGTGATCCCAGTGGATCCAGCTACCCAATTCTTCCTTTCATCTGCTGCCTCCTTCCTAAAATGTTCTAAAATGTAAAAGACAGGCTGTATAACTTCCTTGCCTGAGAACCTTTTCTGCCCCCACTGCCGACAGCAGGGGCCTCTCAGCCTGGGAACCACACTTGGGGTTTAGAGGGGAGTCTCTTGGGTTGTGTGCAGAAATACGTGTACGTGCATGTGTTGGGGATAGTGAGGATCCCAACCGTCCCAAGTTTCTTTCAGATCTGTGTCCCATAAAGGCATCCCTGCCTTTGGTGAGTCACTCAGCAGGCCCACAGCTGTCTGTGCTGTGCCCAGACAGGGAAGAGGCCTGTGGTCACGGACTGGGGGGTGGCCGTGTAAGGTGGGGTGGGCCTGCAAGTGGGCCTTCTAGGACAGCCTCAGAAGGGTCTCTCCTGATAGTGGGGTCCGGAAGGGCAGAGGTGAGTGAGGTGGGTGTGCTCGAGGGTGGGGGCTGGCTGCTGCCGGGGCCTGGGGAAGACCCAGCCAGGCAGTGGGATCTGTCCGTTTGTCGACAGTAATCTCTTGACACACTGTAAGAAAACTTGTGCTGAAGTTGCTCTTCTCCGGCAGGTGCTGAAGCCAGACAGTGTCTGCCTGTGTGTCAGCGACGGCAGTCTGCTCTCCGTGCTGGCCCATTACCTTGGGGCAGAGCAGGTACTGGGCACGTGCCTTTCTGTCAGCTTCCTGAGCGCAGCTTTTGGGTTAGGGTGCCATGTGTTCTGGGGACACAGCTCTGTGACTAAAGTTCTTTGCAGGTGCAGCAGCCATATGTGTAGCGTGCTTGGTTCAGAGGCTGGGGTTTACTTGCCTCCGTGTGTGGGCAGGAGTCAGGCTGTGGCAGTGCCCTGTAGCTGCAGCCCTCTGTCTGAGCTGCCGCCTGGCTCTAGGGCCAGTGCAGAGTGTGGGTGCTGTCCTAGCGGGTGATGAACATGGGTGGAGGTGGTTAGGTGGTACCTTCTGCCTTGGGATGATCTTGTCGCATTTCAGTCTTTAATTTCTCTGTTATGTGAATCTCTTACAACTAATAGTGTGATATTCTCTCTAGGTATTTACTGTAGAGAACTCAGCAGCTTCTCATAGACTGATGAACAAAGTAAGTGGTAATTGTGTTTACTGAAATAATGAGGGAACCTGTGGTGCCTGCCTTTCTGAGTCTGGCACTTACTGCTCCGAGGGAACCAGGAGAAGTACAGCAGTGAGAGCTCTCCTTGCTCCAGTCTCAAGAACTGGCCCCAGAGTCTTCTAGGGCTGCCATCAATGAGAAACAGACATGTAGACTTCATTTTGTTCATTGGCTGAAGACGTATGAGCTTTCCTCCTCACTTCACGTGGAACTAGAGAAATTAAACTGTGGTGAACAACTGGGTGTGTGGTTTGTTCCCGGGACACAGCACCCAGGGTCATGTTCACGAGCTGGCCCGTCTGGTTGGTTCCGTGACGGGGTCTCTCCTCCTGGCCAACGAGTGCTCTTGCTTTCCTCCCTGAAGGACAGCCCACCCCCACCAGACCTGCACGCCTATTGTTAGGTCCTACTGATGTGCCTGCGAGAGAGATTTCTTTTTCTGCTACATTTTGCTAGTGATCTCATCCCTTGGTGTATAGGATGCCCCTGGAGGGGAGAACTTCCACAAAGCAGATAAAAATGGTGCTCCAAAACTACTTACCAGAAAACTGCAGACAGATAAAGCAACTTGGAGATGTTTTTTTCTGGACAAAAAATAATACTTTTATTTTATCTCTAAGATCTTTAAGGCTAACCACTTGGAAGATAAAATTAATGTAATAGAGAAACGGCCTGAATTATTAACATCTGCAGACTTGGAGGGTAAAAAGGTGAGTAACGAGAGTCAGCAGTGGGCGGCATAGCACTAGGTGGCCCCAACTCCTCCTTTCTTTTGGCCTTGCAGAGGGCCCCTTGTTGAACCCGCGGGCTGAGAACTGGCCGCTGGTGAGGAGGGTGTGGTGAGGGTTTGCAGAGATGCCTGCCGAGCAGATACTTGTGCTCCGAGCTCCGGCTAATCTCTGCTCCTTAAAGTGAGGACAGACAGCTCTGCTGGGATTAACAGCCGGCATATCGTGCCCTCCCTCCCTCTTCCCTTCACAGTGCTCCTGTTCTGTTCACTTCATCTTCCTGCTCACTTCCAGCCGCAGCTGGTCTGCGGTCCCCGGTGCGTGCCCCCACCTCTGGTGACTTCACGGTCTCCCTGCACGCTCCTCTCACCAGCCCCTGGACCTTTATGACCAGGGGCCCTCTCTCTCCTCAACACACTCCTTAGATTTTTAAGAGACTGCGTTTTCTAGGTTTTCTTCTTATTTTTCTGGCTGTTCCTTCTCAGTCTTGCATGGGTCTCTGTTTCTTCACTTGATCCTTCCCCTAGGGTTGTCCTTGGAGCTCCCTCCCTTTCCATCCTCTCCTCTCCCTCTGTGACTCTCCTCATCAACAACATCTTCTCCGTATGGGAATCCGTGACCGACAAAGCGGGGCCTGCAGGTCTCGTGCGTCCAACTGCCAGCCGGGTATCTTTCCTCACAGGTCCCACGGGCCCCTGGCGCTGGAACCTGTCATCTTTTTTGCCAGCTTTTTAACAGCTTTTTTGAGATGTAATTGACATACCATAAAATCAACCTATTTCAAGTGTATCATTTAATGATTTTTTTAAGTAAATTTATAGAGTGGTACATCCATCACACAATTTAGTTGTACAACAATTCCAACATCACCCAGCCTCCAGCTCCAGGCAATCACTGAGCTGGTTTCTGTCACATAAGTGGAATAATATAATATATGGTCTTTTCTGTTGGTTTTCTTTCACTGGGCATGTCTTTGAGGTGCATCCATGTTGTAGAATGTTTCAGTGTGTTGTCCCTTTCAGATTCTGACTGGTATTCCATTGCATGAACATGCCATAGTTTGTGTATCCAGTCACTGTTGGGGACATTAGGACTGTTTCCAGGTTTGGCTGTTGCAACTAAGGCTGCTGTGCACATGGGTGTCTGATTCCCGGAGGCCTGTTCTCAGTCGGTTAGGTGGCTGCCTAGGGTTGGAATCGCTGGGTCATAAGGGGTTTTTGTTTAAGAAATTGCCAAACTTGTCCAAAGGGGCTGGGCCATTTTACATCCCCAGCAAGGTATGAGGGTTCTAGTTTCTCTGTATCTTCACAAACACTGCTGTCTCAGGTTTTTGTTGTAGCCATCTGAGGGGTGTGAGGTGATGTCTCATAGTTTTGATTTGTTTTTGCCTAATGACTAATGATGGTGAACACTTTTTCATGTGCTCATTAGCTCCTCTGTGTCTTACTTTGTGAAATGTCTATTTAAGTTTTTTGCCCATTCCCTCCCCATCCTGACTCATGCCTTCTTAAAAATTTTTTTTAAAGATTTTATTTATTTATTTTTAGATAGAGGAGAAGGGAGGGAGGGAGAGAAACATCAATGTGTGGTTGCCTCTTGTGCGCCCCCTGCTGGGGACCTGGACTACAACCCAGGTATGTGGCCTGACTGGGAATCAACCAACCCTTTGGTTCACAAGCCAGCACTCAATCCACTGAGCCACATCAGCCAGGGTCCCATGCCCCTTTTTTTTTTTTTAAAGAACAACTCTTTTGAAATATAAGTCATATGCCATACATTTTATCCACTTAAAACATACAATTCAGTGACTTCTTATATTCATAAAGTTTGTGCAGCCTTCACCCCAATCAATTTTAGAACATTTTTATCACCCAAAAAGAGACCCCATGCTCACTAGCAGTCACTCCCCATTTGCCAGCAATCCTCCCAGCCCGAGGCAATCACTGATGTACTTTTTGTCCATGTGACTTTTTCAGTTCTGGACATTTCGTGTAAATGGAATCGTGCAATACGTAGTCCCTTTGTGACTGGCTCATTTCAGGGTCATCCAGGTTGTAGCATAAATCAGTGCTTCATTTCTTTCCACTGCTGGATAACAGTGCATTGTGTGGTATGGGGAATACCACATTTTCTTAGCCATTTAGCTGCTGATGGACATTTGGGTTGTTTCTACTTTTTGGCTGCTGTGAGTGATGCTGCTGTGAACATTTATGTACAACTTGCTCTTTTATCCCCTCACTGATGAGGGTGAAAAGATACATAAACTCTTTGAGCCATTGTCGTGGTGCGCTGGCTGGACCCCCGGTCACAGACACGGTGACTGGGAGTGGTGAGAGGGTTCGTTCTTCCCTCGTTCCCAGTGTTGGGGGGCGGGGAGTACACAGGGCCAACTTGCTGTCTCCAGCATCTTCCTTCCACCCGTCTGTCACCTCAGCCAGATACTCGACCTCACCTCCGCCTGGCCCCGACTGATTCCCCTCTGCCTGGGTCTAGCCCTGAGGGCTCTGTTGCCTCAGCACCTGCCACACCCTGGGCTCCTCCCTTTTGCACACTTTTTATAGTGCTCATCCAGTTCACCTCCTGTCCCCACTTCCCCTGCGGGCGGCGTCCTTATATTCTTCACGATTGTTCAAGGGCTCTTTCTAAAACATACTCCTTCTCTGATTAAAGTGTTTAGTGACCCCATCTTGCCTCCATGGCAAAGCCCAGTCCCCTTAAGCTGTGGTCAGTTGCCTTCCTGTGACCTGGCTCCCTTCCATCCCCCTGGCCTCACCCTTGACCACCCGCCCTGCCCGGCTCCTGAGAGGGCCTCCCTCTCCCACCTGTGCTTGTGCCTCTGTCCTTCCCACTGCCTGGAGTCCTCTCTCCTTTGCTTTTTGGACTCCTACTCATGTGTCTGTTCATTTCCTTAGCACGTGGCTACTGACTGTCTGCTCTGGGCCAGGTGCTGCCTATGTGCCCACTTCTATGGTGCTCCGAGCCTCGTGAGGGAGACAGCTGGATGAGCACTGAGAGTAAATGGTTAAGATTAGCTTTGAGTGGGATCTGCAGGGCCATCCTAGAAGTCCTTCCTGATGCTCTTGCCTCCAGGGTCCTCCACGTGCCCCTTTGGGCGGCTGTCAAAGCTCGTCACCCTCCACAAGGACATTTCCCAGCCTCACCTGCTCCCTTTTCCACTCTGCACTCCTGAGGGCTGGGCTCGTGTCTGTGTCTCACCTGTGTACCCTCAGGTGCAGGTGCAGACCTTACATACTTGTTTGTTGACTGAGTGAATGAATGAATGGCCTGTTACTTCCATGAGGTGAAACTCATGACCTGTCTTTCTCTTCAGACAGATCTTTCTGATGTCTCAGTTCTGCTTCTTGCTCTGATCTCCAGGTCTCGGTCCTCCTGGGTGAGCCGTTTTTCACCACCAGCCTGTTGCCGTGGCACAACCTGTACTTCTGGTATGTGCGGACTGCCGTGGACCAGCACCTGGGGCCTGGAGCCGCGGTGATGCCCCAGGCTGCCTCGCTGCATGCCGTGGTCGTGGAGTTCCGGGTAGGCTGCCCAGCGGTTTTTGCAGAAGGGTGGGGTTTCTTGTTTTCTTGCAAAGACCTTAGGTGTCGATGGAGTTCCTCGGGCCTTCGTGATTTGGCCTCTGCTTTTCTCTCTCAGCACACTGCGGGGTGGGATAGAAGAGGCTTGTCGTTTTTAAAGTGCAGTAATTTGACATATGAAATGGAATTGGCTGTGTGTTGTCATTTTACAATATGGCTTATCAGAATAATTAAAATACATAAAATTAGAGTTTCAGGAGACATGCTGTGCAGCTTGCTCTGTTCTCATTAAGAGCCGAGGCTCCACCTGTTAAAAGCATTTTGAGATGGGAGAGTCACCTTCTTTATAGGAGAGGAAATTGAAAAGCTTCATTTTAATTTTCTCATCAAAGCAGAGCCACAGTCACAAAGGCATTTTGGGAAAGATATTTTTTATTAAAAGGATTTGCAAATGCTTTTAACCTGAAATGCAGAGTGAACTTCATTTGATATTTCTTTGATAAGAATGGCCCTGTCTGTTGGTAGCTTGGTGGCTGCATCACTTATTTGGGGGTATTTCTTCTGTGTTATTTGTTTACCTGGTGAAATTTCCACGTGAATTCTGGTTTTCATGGCGGAAGAAGGAAATGTGGAGAATGCCACTCGTTTTCCAGGCAAAAATCCAGGAGACGGAGGACGCACGTTGACCTGCCTCAGTGCCTCTGGCCTCCCGTCGTCCTCACGCTGCTGGTGTGCACAGGGCCTTGACAGCGGCTTGTAGATTTCTCCCTAAAGAAAACGGTGTTCAGGAGGACAGAGAGCAGGAAACGTCCAGTAGTCCTGGACGGTTGTCCCCTTGGGGGAGAGGACTTGGGGTCACGTGAGGCTTGGCAGAGTCACAGAACTGTCCTGAATTTTTGGTGTCTCTGAGTCCCTTCAATCTTGGGGGTCTCTTCTAGCCGTGTGAAAATGGCAAGATGGGCCTGAGGTTTGGGGCTGGAGCCACTGCAGCTTGGCCTCACTGACTCTTCTTGATCTTGTTGACACACTGCCCTCCGGCCCTGGGTGGGCGTGGACGTCAGGGTGCCCTGGTGGGTGGGTGTCAACAAAGGCTCTGCCTTCCTCACAGGACCTGTGGCGGATCCGGAGCCCCTGTGGCGACTGCGAGGGCTTCGACGTGCGCATCATGGATGACATGATTCAGGTCGGTGGGGCCACAGCGCCGCCCGCCGTGCCCCTCCCACCCACTCCCCATCACCACAGACCTCTGTCGGCGGGCTCCTGCAGAGAGACGTGGGTGGGGCAGTGCAGGCAGCAAGCAGAGAGCCCTCCTGCTGGGGGCAGAGGGCAGTGGGGCAGTTCCACTCGGTTCCCCGTGAGTGTGAGCGCGAGCACCACTGTGTGTCCGAGTCTAGTCCAAGGCTGTTCTTGGCCCTGGGCTGTAAGCCCTGGATCAGAATCTCAGGCTGGGGTCTGGCACTGCGCCACTGGAACTGCTGCCAATGTCAGCAGCTAGTTCTCTGTTGGAACAGCCTTTCTAGAAGGCAGTTTGGTAACCTTCTGAGCCAGCCATTTTCACTTTGGGGACCCCAGTCCTGGGGAGGTGCTAGAGCATGTGGACGGATGTGAGGGGGGGTCCTGCAGGGCTGTTTGTGTGTCTTTAGGGGCCTGAGTCAGCTACGAGGGTCTGCATGCCCCGGAATCCAGGGAGTCCGTGAGGTGCCAGCGGTCCTGGATCTGCGAGGGTTGAAGTGTAGAGTCATGACGTGGCCGCGGGAGCGGGTGGGGCCAGCAGCGGGACCCTGCCCGTGGATCAGGGAAATTCACACACGCCAGGGGAAGGGGTGGGTAGTAGATACCAGAATGTTGTGTGATAAGGAAGTGTTTTTTTTCTGCGTTTGCTTATCTTTCTGTTCACATTTTTCTACAGTGATTGCGGATTGCTCATGTAAACATTTTTTTTAGGAAAAAATCCAACTGATATTTTTGGTTTGCACCTTACTTGCCCCTCCACCGCCAACCACAGACTGTTCCATGCTTCTAGAATCTTGCTTCTAGAAATCGCCTTTGGGCTGAGTCACCACACACTGTCCCTCAGGCTCCTTCTTGGTCTCTCCCGCCCTTCCCATCCCCCAGGGTGTCGTGCCTTCTAGGTCTCCCTCGGGCCCCTGTCCTTACTGTCCCCTGTCCCCTCTCTGTCGCTGGCTAATGTGTGCATCTGTCTGGAGCTCAGACCAAATAAATAACTAAGAGCAGAGGATTCTCCATGGAGACGCCTTCAGGCACTTTGACCTTGATGCCTCCAAAGTCCATGTGCTCTTTCCCCGCCCCCAGCTTGGCTTCTTCCAGGGCTCCCATGCCCGGCCTGCCACCCCGTCATCCCCAGATGCTGGGCGTCCTCTGGGGCAAGTCCTCGCCTTCACTTGCAGTGGGTCGTCAGGTTCCATAACCATCTGGCCATCAGTGAGCCTCAAATCCAGTTTTCTTTCTCTGCTGCTGCTGTTCTGGTCTCGGCCACTTTGTCTCTCGCCTGTGACTGTGCAGCCTCCTGCCTCTCCCGCTCAGCCGCCCTCCACAGGGGGCTCAGATAAACCTGTGGATCCTGAATCTGGCCTGCCCGTCCCCTGTGGAAAAACCCTGTGGGGTTCCCCGCCCCTCCCCTTGCAGAGTCACTGACCCCTGCTGCTGGACCCTCACCCTGCTCAGCTTTGTCCTCTCTCCTTGTTGCTGCCAACTCCTGTGTGGCCTCTAGGAGGCAGCCCAGAGGTCATTCCTCCGGGCAGATTCTCGCCCAGCCCCGTCTCCATAGGAGGCCAGCACTCCTCGGGCACCGTGGTTGCTTGTGTCTGCGTCCTCTCTAGACTGGGACCCTCCTGTGGGGGTGACCTGTCAGCTGTGGTGCTCAGTCAGAGTCACCAAATGGGTGTGTGTCCAAGGACCAGGTGTCATCAGTGTGGACATTGGGTGACATGGGCAGGGCCATCCCATTTTAAAAAGGGAGAAAACGAGGCTTAAGAGAGGAGGAACGGTTTGCCCAGGAGATGGTTCATGAGTGGGAGCAGGGAGCAGAGAGGCCAGTGGTTTGTGAGGACCCACTGCCCCACGTGACTGGCGTTATCCTGAGGGACCTGGGCCATGGAGGTGAGGGGCCGCTGGCATAGACCCTGGAGACAAGGACATGAGCCCCTTGTCCCCTGGGCATCCTGGCCGTCTCTGCAGACCCCCATATATCTTTCCTTTCTCAGCATGCCCTGGACTTCAGGGAGAGCAAGGAGGCCGAGCCCCACCCGCTGTGGGAGTACCCGTGCCGTAGCCTCTCCGAGCCCCAGCACATCCTGACCTTTGACTTTCGGCAGCCAGTCCCTTCACAGCCTCTCCACGCGGAGGGCTCCATCCAGCTGAGGAGGTGAGTGTTGGCTTCTGGGTGGGAGTCTAGGAGGAAGGAAGTGGGGGGAGGGGAGGTGCCTGCTTTCTGTCCAGTAGTTACTGCCCTTGCACTTAACCACTTCAGCCATTTTCACATGGGTGTGACGGCTTTCCTTGTCTCAGCCTTGCCCTCCTTGGTCTAAAGCAGCCCTGAGTGTACAGGGGTCCCCACAGCCTCTGGGTATGTGTGGGCCGGGAAGCAGAGCCAGAGTGGGCTTTGCTCTTCCCCCTATAGTCTGAGGCTCCTTTTGAGCAGAGTAGCTTGTTGGATCACAGCTGCAGAGAAATGCGAGTTTGGTTGCTATGGTTACCCATTGGACCATTTTTTTCTCCTGGGAATTAAAGCAGGTTAGGAACTGGCAAGGACGCTCATTGCAACACCCAGCCCCAGCCCCCTTCGTGGGGTGGAGCTGTGAGCCCAGACTGACAAGGGGAGGCAGGCAGATGCCATCTGGGCCTGCCACTCAGGGTGTCAGGGAGGGGTCCTCCAGTGTTTGGTGCCAGGGCTGTGCTCTGAGCCTCCTGGACCCAGCCTTTCTTTGGCCTCGAGTGGAGGAGACTGTCCTGTCTCGGACCTCGCCGGTTACTCTGAGTACTTGGCCAGGCTATGAGGAGTGACTGGGGGCTTTGATTTGTGGCTCTTCTCGCTCAGCAGGTTACTGAGTGGCCTTCAGTCGGGTGGAGCCGTAGGAGCCTCCTGATGGGACAGGGTGAAAGTGGGGAAGTCCAGAAGTTTCTGCAGAGCAGAGGGGAATGTCCTCCTTGGTCATGTGGTCATATCTACGCATCTGTTGGGATGTTTCTGTTCGGCCCAACGTTCCTCTCCCCCCAGGCCTGGGAGGAGCCACGGGGCCGTCCTGTGGATGGAGTACCACCTGACCCCAGACAGCACAATCAGCACCGGCCTCCTGAAGCCTGCGGCAGACAAGGTAGTGCTGGGTGTAAGGTAGTGGGTCCCAGGGCTGGCTGACCCTGCGAGCAGGCCTTGTCGGGGGAGGCCGCACCACCAGTGTGCTCTGGCTGTTCCTGGCGCACGTTCAGCCAGATGGTGACCCCTCGGTGCCCCTGGGTACCTGACTGTGGGCAGCAGCTCCTACTTCGAGCTGCCTGCAGGGGAGGCTGGCCAGAAGAGGGCTTAGCTGCCAGCAGCCCTCACCGCCTTCCGCTGATCCTGCCACAGGGAGACTGTTGCTGGAACCCACACTGCAAACAGGCCGTGTACTTCTTCAGCACTGCACTGGACCCCAGAGCACCCCCGGGTGGCCCTCAGACAGTCAGCTACGCCGTGGAGTTCCACCCCCGCACTGGAGATGTCACTGTGGATTTCACACTCTCAGATACCCTGGATGATGGGTGCTGACCCTCACTTGTTAAGAAATAAAGTGGCCTGAGAGGCTCTGGGCTGTGAATGCTGTAGCTTTCTGGTAAGGAAAGGGAAGGTGCTCCTCCTTTCAGGGCCCACCTCGGTCTCTGGGTGTGGAGACCTCTTCCCTTTTTGCATTTTTGCACCACCGGCTCCTCTCTCCAGGTGTGGCAGGCAGTGTGGGTTTCTGGGCGACTCTGGAGCTGAGGAGGAGCCCGGGAGCCCAGCCTGCAGTGGTTCGGATAGTCCCAGAAAGCTCTAAGGCTTCAGGACCACTTCTCTGGGCTCCGTGATGCTGAGGCGGCTGGGCTGCCCATGGTGGTCGCCATCCTGGCCCGTGTGCTGGGGACTTCTGCCTGGCTCTGGCTAGGAGGAGCTTCGAGGGGTCGAGGTGCTGACTCCTGGCTTGGCCCTGGGCCTTAAAGACCCTAGTGGGGCTGAGCTGAGGACTGGGTTCTGGCCCTTTCACTTGATGGGTGATGTCACCAAGCCACATTCCTAAGCATCTGGCTTCAGTGTGTAGCACCAGCAGGTGACCAAGACCTGGCAGTGGACACCAGGCTACTGTTCAGAAGACAGGGAGGACGCAGTTCCTGCGACACAGACCCAGGAAAGGGAGCCAGGAGGTACAGCCCCTTCCCATGGGCCCCTCTTCTAGCAGAAGGACCCCCTCCCCCAGAAGTCTGGCAGATGAGTACACTGCTTCTCCTCCTCGCCACCCACCTCCCCCACCACTCAGGGTGCCCTTTTGCCATTTACACCCCGTTCCAGAGGGAACGAGGGGACACAGTAAGAAAACTTGGGTGTCCCGGTTCTCAGGCGGTTCAGGGCAGGCTAAGGCAGTGCCTGCTCTGTGGGGGAGGCAGGACAGGCAGGCCCCCACAGCCCCACCCGGCCGGCCGCCTGGCCGAGGCAGAGCAGGGCCCGGCCCCGGCTTGTGGCTGGAATAAGTGGAGAACGTCGGCTTCGAGCTCACAGTTTTATTTTCTCCTCGTGATCCGTCTGTCCTGTCAGCACCAGTGAAGGAGAAAAACACCTCTCTGTTCAAAATATTTTATCAGGTGAAAGATTGTTTTTCTTCTAGGGAAGAATTGTCTGTGTACATATTTGATAATGTTTTTACCAAAACCTTAGGTGTGCTTACCATATAAAACCCCTAATGTCCCATGAAGATACAATACAGAAAAAAATACAGAAATTAAAAAAGTTGTTTTCCTTTTTAAAACAGTATTTCTAAATCTCAGCAAGTTAATACAATAGTTAAAAAGCATCAAGATTAATATTCATACTTAAAACTCAAGGTGATTTAGACAAATGAAAATGACCATTTCCTTCCGAAGCTGACCCTGCCTCCTGGCTTCTCTGGGGGAGGCTGGGCCAGGGCCGGTGCGGGACCTCAGCTGGGGATTTGGGTGACCCCTGTGTCTGCCCCTCCCAGGCCAAACACCACAGAACAGGAGATCCTGGCGATGTTTCTTTTCTTTCCTTTTTAAAAATTAAAATGGAAAAGTCTGGCTTGTGCATGGCCCCGGGAGTCCACAGGCTTCTGAAGCATGTGGCTGGGTGATGGCAGCCCCGGTGTGGAGGCCGCAGTTGGGGGAGGTGCGGGGGAGCCGGGCCGGGCGAAGGCAGCCTTGTTAGGAGAGGACGTGACCGTGACCGAGGCACAGGGAGGTATGACTTGCCTGAGGCCGCCCTTCGAGAAGGGAGAGAAGCCCGTGCCCCTGCGCCCTGGCCCTGCCCAGCTGCCAGGGGTGGGGGGGGGCGGGGGCTGGGGAGGGAGGCAGCCCCTCGGAGGGCTGGAAGCTGTGTGGAGTGTCTGCGCTCAGGAGCCCTGGCCTGTCTCCACTGCTCCCTCCTGCGCACACAGTGACCTGCGGCCTGGGGTCCTTAGCTCGGGTCCCGCCATCTGCGCATCACACCTGCCCAACTGGGCCCTGCCTGTGTGAGCAGAGATTCCCGGCTGCTCCTAAGAGTTGGGGGCCCTATGACCCCTCAAAGCCTGGCTAAGACCCGACAGCCAGGCCCTGGGAGGAGGGGCGCAGCGGAGAGCCCAGGTGGGACTGTGCCCTCAGCAGTGAGTTACCCCTCCTGGCTCTGGGCCCCCAGGGGCAGGGTTGGGGGAGTGTTGAAGCCCTCAGCTGTGCCACTGCTCCGGCCAGGTGGGGTCAGACCAACCAGTGCCGCTGTGGGTATGGCTGTCAAGAGTGTCCTCTCCCAGCACAGGGCCTGACCTCTGTCTGGCTGCTTGGACCCCTCTGGGTCCCTCTTGCAGCTCAGTGGGTGACAAGGCACAGCGCCAGTGCACCAACACCAGAAGGGTCCTGGTATGTTCCCCAGCCTTGCTGGACAAAGCTGGCTTTCATCCGTTTGGGCAGAGATCAGGGCACTGCGGGGAGGGGAGACCAGTGAGGGTGTGGAGAACAGCCCCCCGAGTTGGGGGAACCTCCCACCGGGAAACAGACACAGTCTTCCCTGTGTGACTGCAGGGGGCATCTCAGGTGTGTTTAAAAAGGCAGGTAGGCGGGCAGAGGCAGTGCTGCCGTGGGGTGGCGAGCCTCGGGCCTCACCTACGGGCTCTGCCACGCTGTGCCTGGGTGCCAACCAGTACCCCTCCCTGCCCTGTGCAAGCAGTAGCCCCTGACCTTGCCACCCCCAGCCTGCACACTCTTAGGGTGAGGGGACAGGCCTTTCTCTGCACTTTGGCTTCCCACCCCTTTGTCCAGGGCCCCTTTCAGGGCCCAGGTTTGCTTTTGAGGAGGGGTCTGCGGGGGACAGAGCCACAGCCCCACCAGAGACGGGCGGACAGTTCCCGAGCTCAGCCAGCAGGTGGATGGGGACAGTCCCCAGGGAGGGATTGGTCCCAAACCAAAGAGGTGTCTGGCGGGGGAGACAAGATCAGGCAGAAAGAGGAGGTGATGGTTTTGGCAGAAGAAAAGCTACGAATCTATCATTTCCAAAACCAGCAGCTCCCTCTTCCCTGTATCCTTGAGTTCCCTTCTTCCTGTAGAGAAGTCGTTCTCTCCTTGGCTTCCGGGCTGTGGCTCCACGCAGGAGTCCCCGGGCCCTGGCACCCCGGGGAGGGGGCCTGTCTCAGGAAGAGTAGCGTCCTCCTTTGCGGTTTGCAGACCCTCTAAAGTGAGGGGTTGTTTCTGTTCTTAACTTTTCCTGTTTTTCTTTTTAAAATGTAATCGCCCTTGAATGCAAGACCCTGGGAAGAGCCCGGGCTCGCGGTGACTGGACACAGCCCTCACGGTTCCTGCTCACGAGCCGTCCCAGCTGGAGGCAGCGAGCTGGCGGCCCTGTGCCCAGGAATGCTTCTTTGGCTGGTTCTAATTGTGTTTGGAGTTTGGCCTTGGGTGAGGCCCGAGCGAGGGGTCCGGCTGTGGTGTGGCACAGGGCATGCAGGCAGCGTGCATGCGAGGGTGCAGGCATGCGAGACAACGTGGCAGCAGACAAAAATAATGAACCCTGGACGAAGCTTGAGAAGAGATACAAAGAGTACAGAAACCCGGTCCTCATACTAACCCACGGGTTACAAACTAGGTTGTGCTGTAGATTTGTAGAAAATCGCGTTTGGAAAGAATGGCACTGGTTGGGCGGCTGGGCTCCTCGGGCTGGCCTGACTCCTGTGTCCGCAGTGAGTGCCCAGAGGCGCAGGGCAGCGCTGGCTCCAGCTCACCGGGATGGCCTCTGCTCCCCCGGGCCCCGCCCTCTTCCTGGCGCTGCTGCTGGAGGGGCAGTGGCCAGGCAGGGTCAGCTCAAGGGCTAGCAGAGGCCAGGCTGCTGTGGTGACCAGGCTGGTCTATGCCTCCTCGTCCCCTGAAGACACCATCAACCGCATGGCCACCGGGAGGTGGTCAGTCAGGCCGGACAGCTGGGTGATAAAACTGAATTCTTCCACCTCCTGGGTTGGGGGAGAGAAGCATCCTGATTAGACCCAAAGGACACCTTGCGGGGGAGGGGCGGGGAGGGGCAGGGTGTGGCCTCTGCGGTGGGGCTGGCCTGGTCTTCCTGAGGGCAGATGGGTGGGAGGATCCTCAGGGCTCCAGGGGCCTCCGACTGGCAGGTCTCGCTCACCCCAGGACACGGGACTAGAGGGCCAGTTGCTAAGGGCTGGTGAGGGGGGCAGGGCCCAGGGTCCCCTATCTGTGCACAAGTCCTGGCTGCCTGGGCCCAGACTCACAGCTTTCCAGTCCGGGCACAGCCCCTCCTCCGCATACAGCATGTAGTCGATGCGCCTGCCATTGCCCTTCAGCATGTCCTTGCGTCCCTTCTGGCACGCCCCCGGGCTCTTGCTGCTGGGGAAGGCGAGGTATTCCCGGCGCCCCTCCTCGCTCTCCAAGACCCTGCTCACGCAGACAGGAAGGCGAGGTGAGCCCCTGCCCACGCCCCCAGGCCCTGAGTGTGGAGCCAGGCTCTCATCCCCGAGAGAGGCGGGTCAGACCGAACCCCTGCGTTTAACACCTGTCTCCCTTTTGGGCCCCAAAAGAGGCTGGGATGGAGGGAAACTGAGTCTGGGGCTAGAGGCTCCTGACTGAATCGGGCCGCTCCACAGTCTATCCTGGAATGCCCAGGTCCACCTTGGGCCGGCCAGCGCTCACGTCCCTTTCTGAAATGGGACTTTGGCCGTGGCTACAGCTCGGACCCTGTGCTGCCTGGAGACCGCGCCTGAGTCGGGGGCGGAGCTGCCGTCCCCTCTGCAGCACAGGGTTCTGCCCTGAGCCAGTAGGGTCCTGTGGGGAGCTCGGTCTCTTCAGTGACTCCGAGGGGCCCTTCTCTTCCGGAGGTCCCCAGAACCCCACGACTCTTGTTTCAGGTCAGCGGGGCATGGGGGGCAGAGAGAGCACCCAGGCCCTACTCAGGACTGGACTCTCATGTCGGGCTGCCCCTGAGCAGCTGCGGCAAACCTCCCAGCCTCCGTGTCCTCCTCCGGCATGAGAATGGGCACTCTGGGGGCCAGGTGTGCCAAGAAGGGAACAGCGTGGGGTGTGGCCCACCCTCTTCCTCAGAGGAAGGAGACTGACATGGGTGCTTAGGGTTCTA